GTACCTGAATATAATAAAAGCAATATACAGTAAACCAACAGCTAACATCAAACTAAATGGAGAGAAACTCAAAGCAATTCCTCTAAAATCAGGAACAAAACAAGACTGTCCACTCTCTTAATATCTCTTCAATATTGTACTTGAAGTTCTAGCTACAGCAATAAGACAACAAAAGGAGATAAAGGGGATACAAATAGGAAAAGAAGAAGTCAAACTTTCACTATTTGCAGATGATATGATAGTTTACATAAGTGACCCAAAAAACTCCGCAAGGTTACTCCTAGAGCTGATAAACATCTTCAGCAATGTGGCAGGATACAAGGTAAACTCAAAAAAATCAGTGGCCCAACCGGGCGTTGGTGGCGCACGCCTTTAATCCCAGCACTCGGGAGGCAGAGGCAGGCGGATCTCTGTGAGTTCGAGGCCAACCTGGTCTACAGAGCGAGTTCCAGGACAGCCTCCAAAGCCACAGAGAAACCCTGTCTCGAAAAACCAAAAAAAAAAAAAAAATCAGTGGCCCTATTATATACAGATGATGAAGTGACTGAGAAAGAAATCAGAGAAACATCACCTTTTACAATAGCCAAAAACAGCATCAAATATCTGGGGATAATGTTAACCAAGGAAGTGAAAGACCTGTATATCAAGAACTTTGTGTCTTTAAAGAAAGAAATCAAAGAAGATACCAGAAAATGGAAAGATCTCCCATGCTCTTGGATTGGTAGGATCAACATAATAAAAATGACAATCTTGCCAAAAGCAGTCTATAGATTCAATGCAATCCCTATCAAAATTCCATCACAATTCTTCAAGGACCTGGAAAGAACATTAATCAACTTTATATGGAAAAACAAAAGGCCCAGGATAGCCAAAACATCCCTATACAATAAAGGAACTTCAGGAGGCATCACCATACCTGACTTCAAGCTCTATTATAGAGCGAGCTATAGTCCTGAAAACAGCTTGGTATTGGCACAAAAATAGGCAGGTAGACCAATGGAACCGAATCGAAAGCCCTAATTTTAACCCACACACCTATGAGTACTTGATTTTTGACAAAGAAGCTAAAACTGTACAATGGAAAAAAGAAAGCATCTTCAACAAATGGTGCTGGCATAACTGGGTACTGGTATGCAGAAGACTGCAGATAGATCCATGTTTATCGCCTTGTACAAAACTTAAGTCCAAATGGATCAAAGATCTCAACATACATCCAGCCACACTGAAACTTTTAGAAGAGAAAGTGGGAGATACTCTTCAACGAGTTGGTACAGGAGACCACTTCCTAAACATAACACCAGTGGCACAGGCACTGAGATCGACAATTAACAAATGGGACCTTCTGAAACTAAAAAGCTTCTGTAAGGCAAAGGACACAGTCAAAAAGACAAAAAGGCAGGCCACAGAATGGGAAAAGATATTCACTAACCGTACATCCGACAGAGGGCTAATCTCCAAAATTTACAAAGAACTCAAGAAACAAGTCTCCAAAACACCAAAGGATCCACTTGAAAGGTGGGGTACAGAGCTAAATAGAGAATTCTCAGTAGAGGAGGCTAAAATGGCCAAGAGACACTTAAGAAAGTGCTCAACATCCTTAGCCATCAGGGAAATGCAAATCAAAACAACTCTGAGATACCATCTTACTCCTGTCAGAATAGCTAGAATCAAAAACACCGAAGACAATTTATGCTGGAGAGGATGTGGAGAGAGAGGAACACTCCTCCACTGCTGGTGGGAGTGCCGACTCATACAGCCTCTTTGGAAATCAGTATGGAGATTCCTCAGGAAAATGGGAATTAATCTACCACTAGACCCAGCAATTCCACTCTTGGGCATTTATCCAAATGAGGCAGGTTCATACAACAAGGGCATCTGCTCCACTATGTTCATAGCAGCATTGTTTGTAATAGCCAGAACCTGGAAGCAACCTAGATGCCCCTCAACTGAAGAGTGGATAGAGAAAATGTGGTACATTTACACAATGGAGTATTACTCAGCAGAAAAAAAAAGGAATCTTGAAATTCGCAGGGAAATGGATAGCACTGGAAGAAACCATCCTGAGTGAGGTAACCCAGTCGCAAAAAGACAAACATGGTATGTACTCACTCATATATGGATTTCAGACATGGATCAGGATAGTGCCAGTCTACACTTCCACAGATAGTCTGGGAAACAGGAAAGAACCTAAAAGATATATATATGCATAGTACCCAAGAGAAGAGGATGGAGACAAGATCCTCTGAATGGATGGGGAACACGGCGAGGGTGGGGGGAGTGGGACCTGGGAAGAAGAGAGGGGTGAAGAGGAAGGGAGTTGGTTATGGGGGAACAGGAAGTTGAGGGGGTGGGGGTAGAATAGGGGGAAGAGGGAATCATAGGTTCGAAGACAGATCAGGCACCAGAGTGACCTCGAGTGATCTAAAGGGATAACACCAATTGGCAAGCTAAGCAATAGTGGAGGGACCACCTCGAATGCCCATCCCTGATAATGAACTTGATGTCTATAACCATCCGGGAGCCTTCATCCTGTGACTGATGGAAGCAGAGGCAAACACACAATTAATCACTGAACTGAACCCAAGGAACCCAGTGACAGAGAGAGAGGAGTGATGAGCAAATTGGCAAAGAATGGGCTGGCAAAACCAGCAGAGACAGCTGATCTGAACAGGGGAGAGCTCTTGGACCCCAGACCGACAGTGGGGAGGCCAGCATGGGACTGATCTGGACCCCCCAAATGTGAGTGTCAGTGAGAAGGCCTGGGCAACCTATGGGGCCCTGAGCTGTGGATCAGTGTCTATCCCTGGTATACAAACTGTCTTCGTGTGCCTATAGCACAAAGAGAGATGCTCTCTCAGCCTGGACTCTTAGGGGAGTGCCTGGACCCTACCAAGAGTAAAATGACAGACTCTGGATATCCCCTATGTGGAAGGATTTGGCAATAGGGTGGGAGGGAGGGGGGGGGAAGGGGAGTGCGGGAGGAGGGGAGGGAGAGGGAACTGGGATTGACATGTAAAACAAGCTATTTAAAATAAAAAAAAAGAGTAATAATGAAAAGGAGATTTACTCAGGGTGGCCCCGTTAGGAAGAGGAACAGGTGAAGAGGTCCATCATGGGGTCCTGAGGTAAGGTCAGGTAACAGAGGGCAAGCGGGATGCATAACTAGGCGGTCATGGTCAAGGTGATGCCTTGGAATCACCCTGTCTAGGCTCTGTCTCTCTTGCAAGTTGGTCTGAAAGGTGCCAGAACACTTTGAAGAAAACCCCCTCCCCTGACTGGCTCTAGACTTCAGATTCTGTAAAAGCCAAACCAAAAATATACCTCACAGGTTAATGAGAAACTGAAACTAAGAATATACCATGCAGGTTAAGAGCTCTGTTTAACTGGTGAGGTGGCTCAGAGGTTAAGAGTTCTGGCTGTTCTTACAGAGGACCCGGGTTCAATTCCCAGCACCCACAGGGCAGCTCACAAGTGTCAGTAACTCCAGTTTCAGGGGATCTGACACTTTCTATAGCAATGCAAATAAAATAAATTAAATAAACAGTAATTACAATAATACATTTTTAAAAAGAGTTCTGTTTCTAGTTAAAACAGTTCCTGTCTGTTCCCAGCTAAGAGATATGTCCTATGTCAAGTCCCTACTAATGAAGGCTTCTATCTGTAATCAAGAATAAGTTCCAGGTCTGATGCAAACTTCGTGTAGTACCATTCACCTGATCTGTATGCTTGCCTTTGACAAGTATCCTTGCCTTTTCCTTCCCTTTTATTATAACCCTTTAGCAATAGATAACCACCAGCCCCCTCACCCCCTGTGAACACCTGATCCTCCTATAGAAAGGACTTGGAGAGGCCAGTGGGGGCTGCTCTCAGAAACCCCGACTTAGGGGGAAACAGCCACTGACCAGCCTTGGGTACCCCTAGACACAGCTTGCTTTATTTTGGATAGTCGTGGACTTGGTCCTTCCTTTCTTGAGAATTTTGGGATTAACACTTCTCCCAGCATAAGGGAAACTCCAGCTCCTTACAGACCATTGCTTACGGGAGGGGTGTAGTGGGTGTCTCTTCACTCAGCCTTAGCTAGAGCTCTTGCCTGGCAGTGTAGGCGCTCAGCTCAGTCCCCGGTACCCGCAGGGGTAGAGAAATCATCCCTGGCACGGTGGTCACAAGGCTGCTTTAAATCCGGGCACCTCATGCCGTGGTGCATTTACGCCTCCCATTTCATACTTAGGTCCCATCTTCTCAGCGGGACCTAAACGAACAAAACAGATACTTTGGCGTAGCAAAATAGCTCAGTGAGTAAACATGTTTGTCTCCAGGCACCACAACCGGAGTGATCCTGGGACTCTCACACTGGAAAGAGAGATCCAACTCCTTCCAGCTGTCCTGGGACCTACGTTTCTGCATCAGCTCTTCACTCGGTTCTGTGTGCTCTGCTGGATTTCGTGCCCCCTTCCCTAGACTTGCTGCAGAGTCCTAAGGAACGCTGTAATTTGCCTCCCAGAGTGCTTCAGGGCCTTTGTTTAAATCCACTCGTGGAGTACACTGAGGTGCTCAGACCAGGCACCATTAGGGACTGCCCTCTGCTGCCTGGAGAGAAGTTGGAACCACTGGATACTCTCAAGAGATGAGAATGTGTGTGTGTGTGTGTGTGTGTGTGTGTGTGTGTGTGTGTGTGTGTGTGTGTGTGTGTGTGTGTGTGTGTGTGTGTGTTCTTCCAGGAAGCCGCGTTTGCTTCTCCCAAGAAGCTGAGAGAGGCCTATGTCCGCCAAATGTCCTTCTAGGAGCTTTGGGAGAGGGGCGCGAGAGTCCACTGCTCCCACCACGTGCCAGTCCAAAGTGTAACTTCCCAAGGCCCTGACTCAGGACTGTCCTTGGTGGGAGGAGGCTCTGGGAGAAATCTTCTAGTCTGGAGGAACGGGAGCTCAGAGCTCCAGGGACCCCGCCAGAGAGCCCGGCCATAGCAAAACCCCTTGCAGAGTGTTGGCAAACTGGAGATGGAAATGGAGTCCCCTGGGTCCCAGGCCAAGGCTGTTGGGGAGCGCCTCCTCCAGGCTGAGACCCAGAAGACTGGGCTCCAGGCTGTGTCCCGTGGTCAAAGGGGAAGAGTGCTGCGCTGGTTCACCACAGCGGTCCTGAATGCCGCCTTCCTGGGCATGGTGAGAGCTCAGGCTGCAGTGCCCCAGGCTGGGGTGCGAGCCTCCTGCAGGGGGGAGCGATTTTTGACCACCTGTACGTTGTGTGACCTTTGTGCAGCATTATAACTGCCTGGGCGGCGGTTTCATCTTCAGGAAAATGTGTACAATTCTAATGAAATGTGAAACTGATTGGCCTAGTGTTTTCTAACTGGAGCAAACCTTAGTTTATTTCTGTACAAGGCGGGGGTGGGGGTGGGGAGACTGTGCTGGCCTGTACCAATGACCCTCACCACCCTAGACAGTTACAAAGAACCGAGCCTTCCTGAGCATTCTTCTTTGTGCCCTGACCGGCTAACATCTTTTTTGCAGCTGAAAAATAGGCCCCATAGGGGAAGGGACTTCTGCCAGCTTGCAGAGTTAGTTACATAGGTGGTAAAGCCAGGAAGATGTCACACTCTGTATGATTATCCTATTTAAATTGAGCCTTCAGATCCATAAAGCTTTTCATAGAGGAAAGTGTAAGCAAGAAGTGTCCTCTGCAGTGATGACCTCTTAGTCCTTCTGTAATTGTGACCTTGGGCCTGTGTAGTAATTTCTGGTAACTACACATATCAGAGATGGAAGCAGAATTGGTTTGATGAGGGGGAGGAGGAAGATTCGAGAGAAATCACTGTAGATGCAGGGTCAGGCCCTCCGTGGGCCGGCTCTTCTGTAACTCCTTCTGGAAACATGGAGTGCTGTGGTGACCGCCCCTGTCTGACCCTTGGATTCACTGCTCGCAGAGCGCTTGTGCTCACCCTGACCCTGAGACTTGGATGCCTTCTTCCTGGGTAGGCAGACACCTTGCCTCAGAACAGAAGGTGGTGTAATTGGAATCAGTGATTCTGAAACTGTAGATGAATTAGAAACCTTTTCTTAAAGGGTCAAGGAATTTCTCTGAAAGCTGCTGGTAACCTTTTGGTCCTGCTGCACCTATTGAAAAGCAAAGGTCTCCCTTGCTGATTTAACAGTTTCTTTGCACAAAGAAATGATTCAGGAACTGGCCAGGGCCTGAGCCAGTGAAGGCTGAGACAGGTCCACTCTGAAATATGGGCAGGCAGTGTCTACTGACTGGGAAAGTGTGTGGAGTAGCATGATTGTGCACAACTCACTCAGCTTCTGTGAACACTTAGGGCAGTGCACAGCTGTGCTGGGCTCAACACTGGGCGGTTCAGCTGCTTGTCGAAGAACAGTCTCCCAGTCAGGCTTCAGTTGTTGGAGCACTAAGGTTACTGAATCCTACACGCACAGGCAGCTGGAGGCTGGTTTGACAATCCCACATTCCTTTTGGGTCAGCAGCTGGGGTTGAAATGGTCTGAGGCCTTGGGTCCCTGCAGCATTCTCTGTGAGCACAGTCACGGTGAGTTTGGTGCAGTTATAGAATTCATAAGTAACAATACCAGATTAGTTGAGTGATTCTCTTCTTGCCTTCTTCGTGTTTTTTTGTTTTGTTTTGTTTTGTTGTTGTTGTTGTTGTTGTTTTTTGTTTTTTGTTTTTACGAGACAAGGTTTCTCTGTATTGTTTTGGAGGCTGTCGGTCCAGCCTGGCCTGGAACTCACAGAGATCCGCCTGCCTCTGCCTCCCGAGTGCTGGGATTATTCTTCGTGTTTTTAAGTGACCGTCAAAGGTTGGGTGCATAGAAACATCTGTGACTCACAGGAACCTGACACGTAACAGAGGTTTTTACAGCAGGTAACAGGTTGACATGACTAAGAAACCAGAGCACACTCCTTAACGGGTTCTGCCGGGAGCAGTCAGATCAAAATCAAACAACCCAAACTCACATAATAAGAGCAGCAGTATTAGATAGAGTGCAGCCCTCCAGAGCCTTTGTCTAGATTCTATGATGGCAATTAAGACCTAAGATGATGGTACGACTGACTGATTTAAAGGCTTAGTGACTTTTGTAGTTAGCCTGACCACATAAGCCAAAGGAGCCTGGAGAGGCACTGATGACAAGCATTTGAAAGTTTTGTCATAGCCAGCCTTGTCGTCCAGCGTCCCTGATTCTTGCAGACTAACTGCTCAATGTTCCCATGAACACGTGTGTTCCTTCCCCCTGAGAAGTTTCTTTATGCTGTGTCAGTTTCGTGGGAAATGACAGAATCATCAGCAATCACATGTGCATGAAGACGAGCGCCCCCAGAAGCCAGACAGGTACAGGCAGTTGTGAGACATCCAACCTGGGTTCTGGGAATAGAACTGGGGTCCTGTGGAAGATAAGTACACGTTCTAAATCACTGAGCAATCTCTCTACCCCCAAAGAGGAGATATAAAGTGAAATGTTGTTCCAGTAAGTATTTGTAGTGTGTCAGCGATCTACATTTCAGACAGTGGCTTCACCATTCAGAACCTATGGGAGGTTTGACCAGTTACAAGATCCAACTTTTCCCCAACGAGGACGCATAAAGGGAAATGTTGTTCCAGTGAGCATTAGTAGTATGAGACTTTCCTCACCTTTCAGAGAGTGGCTCCTTGACTCAGAACCCATGGGAGGTTTGATCAGTTACAACGTCTAATTTTTCCCCAGGTTACAGGTAGCTTTAAATTCTGTACAAGCACGTCACTGCTACAGATGAATTCACAGAAATCATATTAGAAGTTTTCTTCAATAGAGAACAACATATTTATCGACGTCAAAGGTGGGCACCCCTTGTGAGTATTGACTGCTTTGATTGTGGAAGGAATAGAAACTTACAGAAAATAAATTCAGAAGGCAGTGTTGTGCTATGCTAAGCTAATGTTTACACCAGCAAGGAGACTGAGCAGGCTACAATTTTAGTAGACTCCTGAGGTGGAAAAGACTGCCCCCTAGTGGAGACCAAGCAGACATCAATTAAGGTCTTTGACCTCTGAGGGAACACATGTCTGTCCAGCCAGGTCGGGTGTGAAGCTTCCTATGTAGCATGTTGCATGGACACAGAAACTCACTTAATGGCATTAATTCTGACTTAACATGACACCACTCAAGTGTTTATTTTTACCCACAGTGGTCCCTAGGTCTTGTGTGTACAGTGTCTGGACACACGATACACTTTTACTGGCATGTGTTTGGTCATATTAGCAATTAGCAATTGGCCAGGTCATTCCCAGTGAGTGTATCACAAGCAGCAGTGATGTCCAGAATATCCAGGACATTTTCCACTCTTCAGTTGTAGTTAACTCTATAAGAACCTGCAGGCGCTTTGGGGATAACTCTAGTCACAGCTTATCCAAAGATGACAGTGTGTCCCTGTGCTTTCCTGCAAGGAGATGGGAGGAAGAGCAATGTCAGCAGTGTGTGTGTGTGTGTGTGTGTGTGTGTGTGTGTGTGTGTGTGTGTGTGTAGGATAGTCCTAGTGAAAATTCACTTTAGATCAATCAGTGAAAACGTTGCCTTCTGGACAATGTCACATTTTCTGTGAGTAGGGGATGCTCAGATGCCTCATGAGTGGTGAAGCCTTGGAGTGACAATTCACAAGAGCTCAGTCTAAGCCCTGCAGTCAGAGTGGATCTGGTTGCCATCACTTGGAAGTGCTTGTGACCAACCATCCAGGTGATCCAGGAATTGGACTTAACACTGCCTTCGTGTCTGTGGTTCCTCACTTAGCTCTTGTACGATTGAGTGATGAAACAAATTTCTCCAGGAATCCTGTTAGGCAAATACGGCTTCTAAACTTACTGTAGCTTCTGTTACAGTGCCCGCCTGTCTGCATGGGGCAGCCTCTGAACCCCTAGAAATGAGCACTTCTGGTGGCAAGTGGAAACGTGTGCTGTCAGTGTCTGACTCACCCAGCTGCTGAGAGCCCAGGACTTGGGGCTTTGTTGTCTTAACTAAGTGATGAGAAGCCAAAGCAAGCACTGGTTAGAAGCCCTTGGTGGTGGAAATGCATGTCTATCAATGTTCTGTTAGAGTTCACATCATTTCCCCTGCATGGTGTGTCTTAGAGTGCAGAGCTTTTAATACTAGAGGCTGTGAGGGCTCTGCAAGCACCAGGCAGCCGCCCAAGCTCTCCCTGGGTCCGTGCTCAGCAATAGATTCACGTCCCCTCCAGTTAGGTGCTTGGCACTGCACACCATAGACTCTGACAGGTAATGGACCTGGGCCAGTCCTCGGCGTTCCTTCACATTGCATAGCTTGTCATTTCACCACGGACTAACTAAGCACGAACATCCGCCAAGGCACTTCCCGAGGACTTAATTAATTCTTACTGTGCTTGACCCTGGATTAACATCAGCTCGATGTTTATGAACCACTGATTTCTTCATCAGAAGTTGAGAATTCCTACCCAGGCCAGGGGAACTTGATATTCCTTTCCAGGATTGTCCTCTCATACTAAACAATTAGCTGCAAATGACAAGACTTAAGGTAGCCGTGGTTAAAGATCATTTGAGAGTTCAGTACAATAGTAACGCATTGGGCAGGAAAGGTTCCTTGTGTCTGTTTCATATAAATTTTACAAGCTGGTCTTGCTATGCTGTCAATGCTGACCAGAACTGCCTGGCTCAGGTGATTTTCCTGCCGCAGCCTGGTGATTAGCTAGGACTCTGGGGAGGGTCGTTAGGCCTGCCTCTTGCATATACCAAGTTTTACTGGGGGGCTGGAGAGATGGCTCAGCATCTGTGAGCATGAGCACCTGCTGCTCTTACAAAGGACTGGATTTGCTTCCCAGCACCCATGGCAGCTAACTGCAGTTCCAGAGTATCCCGCACCTTCCTCTGGCACCTGCATGCAGGTAGCACCCATACACATACACAGGTGCCCACACATACACATAAAATAAATATTTTGGAAACTTCTTATTTGAGAAGTGGAAGATTCATAAGTTGGGCAGCTACCGGAGCCAATGGAAGTTGACAACCCTACCCAGCAGTGTGGGAAAGGAAGATGTGGACAGAAAAAGGAAGTGATGTACGGAAGCAGCTGTGATCGACTTTGCCTACACTTTTTCCTATTTGGACATATCTACACGTTGGGCAGCCCATGAGGCTGGCCATTTGCTATGACAGAGACACTCGGAAGGTTACAGCAGGCTGACAGGTTGTGCTAGAGTTGCTTACATATTGAGGTAGCTACGGACCAAGTTACTTTGAGTAATAGATTGCATTCCTTCACATTTTTAAAGCCACGCTGTGCCTGTGCATGTAACATTTTGTTAGGAAGAATGACACCCTGCAGTTGAGATGGCTGAGGGTGTCCTTGACGAAAAACATAGATTTGAGCAAGCTCAGATGACTTCTCTCCTATGCACTGCATATGTGCAGAACCCAGTGCACCAGAGACTGTTGTTTTGATAATATAAAAATCAGAGCAATCTGATAATTAATGTTTTGATATGCAAATTCTCACATTAGAAGTGCCTCTAATATACTTGCAAATACTATACTAAAAACTTATTTCAAAAATAAGGTTAATGACACATCCTATAAAATATTGCAACTGGTGAAATGACCCAGCTCTTTAAGACATATGTCTGATGGCCTGAGTTTGATCCCCAGAAGCCACAAGGTGGAAAGAGAGAACTGACTTACACAGGTTGTCCCCTGAGCTAGACATGCACACCATGGCACACACATCTGTGCATGCACACACAGTAAATAAATGAAAAAATAAAAAATAAGCAATCATCACTTTGTGGTGCTGGACATTAAACTTGCACTTGTACCTGCTAGGCAAGCCGTCTCCCACAGAGTTCCATCCCCAGCTCTGTATGAGCTTTTAATCCAGAGTAGCCATTAAGGTATTGTCAAATGGGAACTAATACCAAAAAGGCCACAGACTTAAAGGACTTTTGAAAAATTGAGAGGTTTGAAACAGAGAAAAGCAAGGTCCATGGCTGTGGTAACCTTAGTATATTGAATATTCCTCCTTGCTGTGGGCCTTAAAGTCCATCTCTGCCTTGTTACCACTCCTCGCTATCTTTTTTTACAATGGCTATAACTAGATACATTTTCTTTGTTTGTTTGTTGTCTTTGCAAATTGCAGGGAGTGAGTGTTGCTGTGCTAGGACCCACGTTCCCAGACCTGGCAAGAAATGTGAACAGAGACGTCAGCAGCCTTTCGGAAATATTCGTGGGCCGTGCCCTTGGCTACTTGTGTGGCTCTGTGGTTGGCGGGGTGCTTTTCGACTGTATGAATCATTTTTTACTTTTGGGTGAGCTAACATTGATTTTCGCTCCATTGTTTCTGTCAGTAAGTATGCAATTTGTCTCTAAATATGACGGCAGTAGCCTGGAGATGTTGACAATTGAAGTACACTGTTTTGCTGTCCCCCACTACTGGGTTGCCAGATTCTACTGGCCCTGAGACAGTGACAGGGAGCCCTCTGGAAACTTGACTGACCCTGTGGTGAGTGTGTTAGCATTCCCAAATCTTGCCAGCCTCCACCGAAACCCAGGCTCCATTCCAGACACACACAGCTTGCCCCCGGAGTTGCCACAACGAGGTTCCCAGAGCTGCAGAGGTAAGAAACTGCTCTGGGAACCTGGATTGGACATGAAGGGGCAGGGAAGGTTGATGAACTAACCCAGGCTGCATTTTTTTTCTCTGCTATCCTATGTCAGAGATGTGCTCAACCACACCTGGAAGCTGGTGGGAAAGCCTTTACCATACATGCTTTGAATAAGGCAAACCACTTTTGTGTCTGAGGGAACAGTCTATTATTCCTGGTTAATAAATAAGAGATCCCTCTTATTTCAAAGTGGACTGGAGAATATATATAATGAATTATATGGGTATAAGTTTTTGTTTGCAGAGAATCCTGTTGCACAGGTCTCTATCACTGACCTAAATCCTAGCCCAGAACTATGCCTTGTATTTTCCTCCCGATTCCACAAACTAACTTATTTAAAGTTTACTACTAACTCATCATCCTTTTGCTTTTTTGTTATGCCATATGTAAACATTTCTTTTGTGTCTTGGATTTTTGTTTTGTGTGCATGCGTGAGTGCGTGCGTGAGTGGTGTGTGTGTGTGTGTGTGTGTGTGTGTGTGTGTGTGTGTGTGCATTCATGCTCATATGGGTGTGGGCTCATGTATGCTTAGATATGTGTGAATGGGTATGGAGGCCAGAGGTGTCTTCCTTGATGACTCTACTTTATTGTTGGGAGCAGGCTCTCTCACTGAACCCATGGCTCACTGACTTGAGTAGTCTAGCTAGCCAGCTTGCTCCGTGGAGCCTCCAAAACTCGGGATTACAAGCTGCCATCATGCCCTCCCAAACCCCCTTCTGCCCCAGGGTTTCTTTGGTAGCCCTGGCTGCCTTGGAACTCACTCAGTAGACCAGACTGGCCTTGAACTCAGAGATCCACCTGCTGCTGCCTCCCGAGTGCTTGGGACTAAAGACACCCAACTTCCACCCAACTTTTATGTGAATTCTGGGGATCAGAACTTTGGTCCTCACACATGCATGGTGCATGCTCATTCTCTTGAACCAGCTCTCTAAATGCTCCCCTCTATTTGGGTTGTTTTTTATTCTTTAAAATTCATTTAAAATTATTGTGCACCTTCCAGAGCACTCCCGGGGAGTCAGAGGACAACTTTCAGAACTGTTTCCTCCTTCTGCATGTGGGTTCCTGGGTTCTAACGCAGGCTGTCCTGTTTCTGGGTTCTAACGCAGGCTGTCCTGTTCCTGGGCTCTAATGCAGGCTGTCCTGTTCCTGGGCTGTAATGCAGGCTGTCCTGTTCCTGGGCTCTAACGCAGGCTGTCCTGTCCTGGGCTCTAACGCAGGCTGTCCTGTTCCTGGGCTCTAACGCAGGCTGTCCTGTTCCTGGGCTCTAACGCAGGCTGTCCTGTTCCTGGGCTCTAACGCAGGCTGTCCTGTTCCTGGGCTCTAACACAGGCTGTCCTGTTCCTGGGCTCTAACGCAGGCTGTCCTGTTCCTGGGTTCTAACGCAGGCTGTCCTGTTCCTGGGCTCTAACGCAGGCTGTCCTGTTCCTGGGTTCTAACGCAGGCTGTCCTGTCCTGTTTGGCAGCACACAGTCACCTTGCAGCCCTCCTTTGGTTCTTAAGTGTAAAACATTTAAATAAACAGCTTTTACTTCTTTTGCTGTGAAATTTGGCTTCGTTGTATGATTTGAAGTTTGATTCTAGCAATGATAGAATTGCATTCACTTTATAACCTTCTATATCTTATAATCCATAAAGATTACACAAGATTTGAAGGGTGTGACTGCTTGTAGAAGATACAATGCTCACTCCCACAAGGTTACCCTCTTTTCATTTGCTCTCATTTGCATTTGGGGATGCTGTGTTGACCTAACTCCTGATGCACAAATACTGTTTTTTACAGCTGCCTTTCTTTCAACGTTGTCTTCTCAGGGCTGTCAAACCTGCTCACCTCAGCCGGTCTTTACCTGACTCCATTCTGTAAGACAGCAGTCTTACTTACTGCCATGATGTCTGTCACAGGCATCTCATTTGGTGTTCTAGATACAGGTCAGTGAATCACTCCATGTCATATCTGGGGACGGGACACTACTGCTAGGAAAAGTGGAGTAGGATGTATTCAATTGTCCCTTGTGATGGACTTGAACTAACAAGGAGTTGCTGATCTGCATTTATCCAACTCAGAACCAGCCTGCTAGCAACCACTCTTCTTGTAAAGGAGAGAGTCAATTTTCTAAGCATCTAACTTAGAGATTTTGTCCTATAAGAGATTGTGGGTTGTTGCTATCAGGACCCAAACGGGGGGGGGCAGAGCCTGTGTTTTGTATTGCTTTCTTTTCTTTGTTTTTTGCTCTTTGCTTTCTCAAAAATTGTGTTTACAGTAAAGCCTCTGCAATGTCACCATGTCTTTGAAAACCTACAGCAGTAGGGGAGGTAACACAGTAGGCAGATCCGAGACCTCACTGGCCATGTAGCCTAGTCAAAATGGCAAACTTCTTAATCAATGAGAGACATTGTCTCATGACCATAAGGCAGGACCTGATGGAAGATACTAGACATCTACCTGTGGCCTCTGAATGTGCACACAAGTGTATGCATGCCCACACACTTGTATTTAGCACACCACACACACACACACACACACACCTAAATGATATATGTGATTTTTTTTACTTCCAAATTCCAGCCTTCTATCCCTCATTTCTCTATCTAATGTTTTCTTATAGATGTGGAATTTATACTTTTTTTTTCCAAGACAGGGTTTCTCTGTATTGTTTTGGAGCCTGTCCTGGAACTCACTCTGTAAGACCAGGCTGGCCTCAAAGGAATTTATTCTTTAAGCTTTGTTTGGACTTGACACTTTGGACTTCTCATCTTGTAGGTCCTCTGATAGCATTAAAAGCAGATTCTGAAATATGTATTATTTCCTGTAATAGGCACACCAGGACCTTTGGAGTATTCAGGTTTCTGAATGGGTATTATCTATCTGTTTAAACATAAATAAATAATACATTTACTATTGCAAGTACAAAAAGGGTTGGTAATGTGTCTGAAGTATATTATATACATTTGCATATTATTTAATATAGTACAAAAATAAATACGAGTATTAAATAAAATTCCCCAGTGCAGAGTCAGCCTATCTTATAAACTCTTTGCTAATGTGCATGGCTCTAAGAGGTAGCAGCTGATCAGATTGCTGACTTCCATGTGTAGGTATGAAATGATGTGTGCAGCAAATGCATCACAGTACTGAATCGGGTGCAATCTTCAGTAATTTAGAGCACTTATCATGCTTGTGCCATGTAATACAGACATGTACCTTTGGTGGAGTTTCTTAACTAACATATGTATTAGCTAAGTTACCATGTTTAACTTAAGTCATTTCTTTAACTTGTAGGTGGGAACGTCCTCATCTTGGATCTTTGGGGTGACAAAGGAGCCCCATACATGCAGGCCTTGCACTTCAGTTTCGCCTTGGGTGCCTTCCTGGCTCCCCTGTTGGCTAAATTGGCCTGGGGAACATCAGCATCCACTCAGAACCACACAGAGCCTGTCTTTGACCGTTCAGCCCTGAACCAATCCTCTGAAGCCACCTCAGACTCTCTGTTTGCAGTTCCTGAGGACATGAACCTGCTGTGGGCATATGCTTCCATCGGCACCTATGTCTTAGTAGTTTCTGTCTTTCTGTTTGCTCCATTCTTTAAGCAAAGCTCAAGACAGAAAAAATCCACGGCATCTGCTCAGAGAGCTCGAAGAGCTAAATATCACAGGGCCCTGCTCTGTCTCCTCTTCATCTTCTTCTTCTTTTACGTTGGAGCCGAGGTGACATTTGGCTCTTACATATTCTCCTTCGCCACCACCCATGTTGGCATGGAAGAAAGTGAAGCAGCGGGCTTGAACTCCATCTTCTGGGGGACCTTTGCTGCCTGCAGGGGCCTGGCCATCTTCTTTGCAACATTCTTAAAGCCCGGAACCATGATTGTGTTGAGTAATATTGGCAGCCTTGTCTCGTCTTTCTTTCTGGTGCTTTTTGACAAGAGCCCTCTTTGTCTCTGGATCGCAACTTCTGTGTATGGAGCCTCGATGGCAGCCACGTTTCCCAGTGGCATTGCCTGGATTGAGCAGTACACCAGCATCAGCGGGAAATCTGCAGCGTTTATTCTGGTTGGTGCTGCCCTGGGAGCAATGGCTACGCCTGCACTATCTGGAATTCTTCAAGGACACTACCCAGATCTGCCGATAATTCTGTACACTTGTCTGGGATCCGCAGTATTCACAACTGTTTTATTTCCCATGATGTATAAATTAGCCACCTTACCTCTGGATTGCAAGCAGAGAAGAGGCATAAACAGTGAGGACCAGAAATTTTTACCTTCTAGCTCTGGGCTTCAAGGGAGAAAATAAAGGGATGAAGAAAAATGCAATTAAATGGGAAAAGCAAGAGTAGGGACCTGAAGGCTTTGCTTCCTAGCTCTGAGCTAAACAAGAAAGCTAAATGAAGATGGGGAGGGTTGGGGTGTGTAATGGATTTTGAAGTGTTTAAATGAGGCATTTTCTAATAGGAATATAACAGAGATTATTTTATATAACCTATAGCTGAGGTCTCCAAGCAACTCTCCTGAAATGCTCCGTGGCCTGCATCCTTTTCAGGTAACAGTGAGGATTCAGTTAAGAATCACCAGGGCAGAGGGATGGAGAGACAAAATGGGCTGGTGACTGAGTGGCTCCTTAGAAGCCTGTCAGAGCCGAGTGCTAGATGTTCAGCATGTTTCAGAAAGCCCAATCCAGGCCCATTTATACCCAGTGGTGAAATGTTGGGAAGCGTTTGAGTCTCGGGGTCTCCCATAAACTACCAGGTGATCTAGTTCTGGGCCTCGTGTTTGACAGGAAGCTGGTTAAGTAATATTGTGTGATTCCCAACCTTCAAAGAGTTCATAGAAGGAATCTGCTGGTGTTTTGTTTTGTTTGAGACAGAGTGTGTCTGTGTAGCCCAGGCTGTACTCAACTTTGCAATTCTCCTGTCTCAGTCTCCTGACAGGGAGCTCTCAATGAGGGAAAGCCATGAGTGGGTTGTATTTGTTGAACAGATAACCAGTTTTCTCGTTCCACCTGAGAAGCTGGGGGTGCAATTCATGAGACAGTGTCCTAGACAATGGGGAGGAGTTTTTATGCATTGCTTACTCTATCTGTAGGTTTGAGCAAAGGATGCTAATGACTCATTTGATTGGCTTTTCCTTGAATAGAACACGTAGTTCAGGAGACCTGCTTCCAAGGTCCCCTGAGACTTAACATTGTCCTCATTGAAGTCATCTCCACAACCCATGATTCTAGGGGGAAAAAATACCAGGACTTCCAAATTAAAATCCACAACTTCTACAGTTTCTATAAGACATCTCTGAGAACTTAATGGAATTGTCAGCCCATTCTTCATTTCAATGAAGAAGTGAAACATAGACCATAAAGAGCTTTCAGATGGGCTACCCATCTAATACATTTAATGCTATGCTTTAGTTTTAATTTTCTGAAAAGTGTGATTTTATAAAGCTGCATTTCATCAACTCTACTTTAAAAGTATGATACTCCTTATAATAAATGATTGTTCAGCATTGTGGCAAGATTAATCAATTCTCTCCATTTACATATATAAGCTTTTTAATCACTGTGCCATCTCCCTAGCCACCATGTCAATTTGCAATTGTCACCTGAGGCTCCTCGTCCCTGAGTTTCAGTATCTAGGAAACCAAAGAAAGGTGTGGAAGTGGCTGATGGCCTAAGAGTTAAGGATGAGAAAGTCTGTTTTACATGTGTGTGGCAAAACTGGTATGGGCCATCTGGATAAACAACTAGAACTGATGAATGATTGGGTCTGGGTATTATTGTTTCTAAACTTGAGTTTCAGTAGTTTGGAATAGTAATAGCATCATAAGCACAGTAAAAACTGACAAATGTTCCCAAGCTTTATGTTGACCAATATTGTTTTTCTGCACTGCAATATGTTTGTTTACTTTCATCTCATCTCTGTAAATCTGAAATTTTGATGAAAGTGATTTTTTTTAAGTGAAGTGTAGTTCTTTCGGTGCTGGGGATCAAACCCAGAGCCATGTACACACAAGGCAAATGCTATACTCTGTCTGCTTTCCAGCCCCAAGACAGCGCCTTTCTCGACAACTGCCCTTAATCTCAGTAAGCTGCTATTCATTGGTTTATGTCGTTCACTTTAGAAGCTGGCTAGTCTTCCACCGCACTCTTGCTCAGAGCAGGGAAAGGGCTTCAGTATCACTTGTTGCTTTGCTCAAGTTGTCTCAGGTACTCTTCTACGGTCGTGACAAAGCATTGTGACCAAGACAACGTAATCTGGGACTCATGGTTTCAGAGGGTTAGAGTCCATAACCATCATGGTGAGAAGCATGGTATCAGACAGGCAGCATAGCACTGGACCACTATCTGAGAGTTTACATGTTTAGACAACAATCACAAGGCAAGAGAGACAAAGAGAGAGAGAGACAGAGACAGAGAGAAACACAGAGAGAGAGAGACAGAGAGACAGAGAGAGAGACAAAGAGAGAGAGACAAAGACACAGAGAGAGATAGAGAGACAGAGAGAAAGAGAGAGAGAGAGAAAACACGCTAACTGGAAATGGCGTGGGCTTTTTGTTTGTTTTTGGTTTTTTCTTTCTTTCTTTCTTTCTTCCTTCCTTTCTTTTCTTGAGATAGGGTTACTCTGTGTAGCCCTGGATGTCCTGGAACTAGCTTTATAGACCAGGCTGGTCTTGAACTCAGGGATCTGCCTGCCTCTGCCTCCAGAGTGCTGAGATTAAAGGTATGTGCCACCGCCACCCAGACATGAGCTTTTGAAATGTCAAAACCTACCCCCAATGACATACGGCCTCCAACAAGTCCATACCTCCTGTTTTAGAGTTTTGTTCCCATGAAGAGTCACCATGACCACAGCAACTCTTTAAAAAAAAAAACATTTAATTGGGGCTGGCTTGCAGTTCAGAGGTTTAGTCCATTACCCTCATGACAGGAGGCACGGCAGCACACAGGCAGACTTGATGCTGGAGAGGTAGCTGAGAGTTCCACATCTGGATCAGCAGGCAACAGAAAGAGAGAGTGACACTTGGCCTGGCTTGAGCTTTCAGACGCCCAAAGTCCACTCACAGTAGCACACTTCCTCCAACAAGGCCACACCTTCCAACAGTGGGGGTTATTCTCATTCAAACCACCATACCTACTAATTATTCTAAAACAGCCACCACCTGGGGAACAAGCTTCCAAATTTTTGCGCCAATGGGGACCATTCTCATTCAAATACCACTGTCCTAGACGGGAGCAGGGTTTTCTGGCCACTTTGAAGCTTGTTAAACATGGGTTCTGCCTTCAACAACTTCTTGAAGAGATTCAAAGATGGAGCTCAGAGAGAGAAACATGGCAAGAAGAACATGGAATAAATTAGAAACCCACAATGAACAATTCGCTTGGATTCCACAAGCCAAAGTATGAACAGCTTTCTGTAACTATAACAAATACTTGGGATGATCGGCCTATAAATGGAAAAGGGATTTTAGGCTCGTAGTTTTGGTGATTCTGGTCCATGATTGCTTGACTCTGCTGCTCTTGGGCCTGGGACAAGAGTATAAAACAGAATAAACTCCAGTGCACATATGATCCAAAGTCATCTATGCCCAGGATGCGGAAGAGGGTGGAAAGGGACCAGAGTCCCTAATCCTTTAAGAGAAGGAAACACAGTGACACAAAGGCCTCCCACGAAGTAGCACTTCTTCAAGTTCCACTACTTCTGAATGTCCCACTCTAAGGACCACACATCTAATCGTTGGAATGCTGGGGACATTTGAGATTCAGACTATGCTATTCTGCCCTATTCCACAAAGAGCATATCCATTTTACAGCACAAAAATGCCAGTCACACTCATCAGTACCTACACCTTCAGCATTCTAGTATTGTTCAAAAGTCCAAGTCCACAGGCTCCACCTCTGGGAACCAAGCCCCTAATATGTTGGCCTTTTGTGGACACTAAGGAGTCAAACTCATAATCCTCAGCTCCTAAAGATCATGTCCACATCACTCTCCCAAACGTACACCCTCAAGATGCAGCCAGTCTATCTCCAAGACTCTTCATGGTATTCACAAGTCCAGTTCCTGGTACTACTCAAAAGTCGAAGGCCCAAATCCTCTCTGAGACTCAGGGCACACTCTTAGCTTTGAAGGCCTGTAGAAATAAGAGGGCTGGTGAAACTTCTTAGAGACAAAGCACTTGCCCAACATGTCTGAGGCCCTGGGATCAATCACACAAATGAAGATGAAGTTTCCCTATACGAGGCTGGAACATGCATACAGTCAATACACCATTCATTGGAGAGGGATGAGGCAATAGGAAGGCACAAACAGACAAGGACATATTCCACAGCTTCATGTAGGGAACAGGCACATCGTGAACAGGGTCAGGAAATGGCTTGCATGTCCTGGGCAGCCATGCTTACTAGTCTCGCTTGTTGCAGCACTGGTGACCACACTTTGGGGCAGACTTCCCTCGCTGCCATGCCACAGGTATCTCACGGTCTTGGCATCTACCTGTAGTCTCCACTGCAGCTTTGCCTTCATTCTCACAGTCCTGTGAGGGAACGTTTGCAGGACTCTCATCCTGTCACACAGTCCTGAACTCCTGGGCTTCCTCTGACATGTCTGTAGAAGGTTAGAGAGATGGTCCTGTGCAGGTGTGAAAACCCAAGCTCAAATCTACAAACGCTAGTCACGTAGCGACGGAGTCTGTAATTGCAGGGCTTCTACAGAAGTGTGGGAGCAGAGCCAGGAGAATCCCACTGAGCCTCCCGACCAGCTTCTCTGGTGTATGTAGCTCAAACACAACATAGAGACTGTCTTAAGCAAGGTAGGAGGCAAGTATCAATGCTGGGGATTGTCCTCTGATCACCACATACAGGCTGCAGCACTCACATGTGTGTGTATGTGCAAGCACACACATACGCACACACCAAAACAGTCATAAAATTAAAATGTGGGCAAAATAAAACTAATCCCACATGCTTGTGACGCAATATCACATGAATGATGCTGATGTCTGCTGCCATTGTAGACTATACCAGCATCCATGTGGACCACAGCTCTGAGTGTCTTGTTGGCTGACCATGGGAAAGCAATCTGTAGGCATCTTTGGGAAAACATGGTACCCCAGGGCTCATAAGGGAAACATTTTAGAGTTTTTGCAGTTGGGGCTGCCTTGGGGGTTGTAGATATGGCCTCAGTGCCACCTGTTTGTACCTTTTCTAAGTTTCTATTTACCGGTGTGAATTCATTCCTTTTGGAATGATTACAATTGCTCCTTAATCTGTCTGGAATTCCTTCTACTCTCTTCTTTTTGCTCCTGAGTGTCACCATAAATTTAACAAAAAGCACCCAGTAAGGCTCTAAACACTGTGCTAACTTGAAATCTCCCTCATCGGGAAAATTCCCTACAAAGTCTGGGTTGCACAAAGCTGCATCTTTTTGCCACTGTATAACCAGTGGTCTAGCTTAACTCCCAATGGAGTCTCCTTTTTCATCTGAAATCTCATTAGATTTTGCCTTCTCTGTTCACACTTCTATCCGAATTTTGGTATTCAGTCTTTAGTTTTTCAGGGTGTAAAAGCTTCTAAAGACTCACTGAATAACGATGCATTGTAGCAGCAGGAACTTCTTATACACAGTTTGTCCTGAACAGTTTTCATTACTGTAATGATTACAACAACAATGAACTTATAAAGACGGGCTTATTTTGGCTCACGGTTTTGGAGGCCTCAGTCTATGATTGGAAGACTACTGTGGAGAGCACATAGCGTGGACTATGAGGCACTCACTCAGCAATTAGATTTCCCACAGAGATTTGCCTTTTGAGTATACTGGGCTTATTCATACAAACATTCTTTACAGTAACTGTTATTATAAAGCTTACAGTAGTTTCATGTAAACAGACTTCTCAGAGCTGGGAAATAGTCACTGGGGCTGCTGTAGAGTTCCTCTGGGGAATCTTCTCCAGTAAGAATGCTCTGGGAACTTTGGAGCTCCAGCTGCATCTGTGATGAGGTCCCTCAGCAGTGACAGGCCTGGAGGATGGCACTGTGGAAGTTCCAGTCTATCATCGAGAATGTTGTCATGTGAGCTCAACAACAGTGCTGGAAACTCATGGTTGCCAAAGCCAGAGTCACACAGAGGCCAGTTGCAAAAACCCCTTGCAGATGGGGGCCCACACAGGCTTGAGGTACTGTGTCAAGAGTGCACATCAGGGTGATCCTAGGAGCCACACCCAAAGCTCCAATTCTTGAATTCTTCTTGCGGGTGCTAGGTCTATGCTACTAGAGTTCACAGCTTAGGCTCGACTCATATCTGGGCTGCCTTGCAGCTGATTCCTATCTTGCAAATACTGCAATATTTCAAGTCATACAAAATGGTTTTAAGCTACATAAAATATTTCAGTTATGTTCCTAACACTCCATGGGTCTTGGCCTGTGTCGAAAGAGTGGTATCGCATGAGGTCAGTGGAACCACTCACCTCACAGCCAAGAAGCAAGAGTGAATAGGTAGCTCCAGGCACAATCACATTCTAGGGGACATCCTTAATGACCTAACTCCCTAGTAGGGTCCTTGTAGGTAGGCCCAAGAGTGCTACTACTTGGGCCGTGCTTCTAACATTAAGGTCTCTGGGAGACATAAAAATCCAAACTGTGGTAACCACATGGAATCACAGGCATTGTAAACTTGAAAATATATCCCCATATTATAAAAAAAATTAAAAAGGAGTTACTATAGTGGGATGTCTTGGTAAATGTCTATAAATGTATTGTTATATGGTTGAGGGTCACAGTTGATTTACATATTTCTGAGGATATTTAACACAGTGCTCATGTGATAAATATGGATAAACCTGTGGGGGAGGTTCCAAAAAAAAAGATTATAATACTAAGCCTGGGATTTGTTCAAAGGGCCAAGAGGACTGAGGCAGATCCAACTCTCAGTCCGGTGTCCTGACTTGCAGGGAACTCTGCCCTGAGGATGTACTCTCCTAGATCTAAGCATCCTTTGGGCTTTCTGCCCTGAGGATGTACTCTCCTAGATCTAAGCATCCTTTGGGCTTTTAACTCGATGAAATATTACTTAGAGGGAGAAGCATTTCAGAAATAAATGGTTACCTTAAAAGTGAGCAAGAAAAGACCCTGCTTGCCACATAAAAAATATCAACGAAGGGAAGAAATACAGGCAGGTTCCAAGCTGCCTTTCATGCATTCAGTGGAAACCCATCAAGGGCTTTGCATGGTTGCCGTGCTCACCAAGGTCCCAACAAATCTTCAGATGTTGACGGCGCAACAAGGACAAAATTGCTTTGTGAAGCCCCATGTATGGGAGCTGGCAAGGTTTTATTCTTAGATCGGAGTCAGTTACACAACACTACCTTTTCTCTTGACATTCAGACTTTTTCCCAGGCTTCTGCCACACCCAGAATCCATAAGTTCCAGGAGAAAGGACTGAGGGGAAGCATGAATGCGTGCATGAAAGTGCATGCATGTGCAGATGTCAGGGTCCTCCAGCCATCAGTCAGCTAGGCTGTATCACGTACTCATAGAGAAGACGTGACACTAAGACCACCCTGCCACCCCTTCTGACATAAAGCAAATTCCAAGTAACAAGCCTGTGGTTTACCTGTCAGTTAAAGATTAGCTTAATTGGAAAACTACAAGGTCCTCAGGAGATAGGCCTGAGCAGTTGTAAATTGTAATAGATAGGATCGGACCCTGCTGTCAGGTTACCAAGCAACATAGAAGTTCCTACCCCTGACCTCTTGCCCTGTAGATTAGGTAGCCAGGCAACACAGCACACTACCTCTCCCACTGACCTCTTGCCCCTGCAGCAGCAAGTACACCTTTCCCTCTTCCCCTCCTCACTTCTCCTATATAAATCCCCTTTGTGATGAAATAACGTTTTCGCCTTGATCAGAATCCTGTCTTGGCGCCCATTCCTGTATCCCCTGTCCTCCATCTTTCTCCTAGGTGTCCACCAGACCCACGTTGAATGTCCTGCGGGTCGGGACACACAGAGGCCTGAAGTTGATGTCAACAAAGATTGGGTTATTTAGACAGAGATCGGACATGAGCTTCAGGCCTCTGCACACGCATGCACTTGCATACTGTAGAGAGTTAGGATGTGACCGCTCCAAGGTACAGCCGAGGAGAAGGTTTTTATTGTAGCTATGAGGGAGAATTCAGCCAGAGGTGTCTGCAAGAGTCCAGAGCAGAGAGAGAAAGAATACATTGAACATGGTCAGCAGACTGGACAGGGCCAAGAGAGGTGGGGGGAATGAGTGAGGAAGACCAGAGAGAGAGAGGTAAGAGAGGGGGACCAAGAGAACACATGTCTGAAACGACAGGATTATATAGGAATGAGAAGCTGGAGAAAACTAATCCCAAGAGCTAGAGAAGTCCTGGCCTGTGAACCTGTATGGGCCATTGGTACCCGCAAGACTGCAACACCTCGAGAGCCTCAGGAAGTACAGGAGAAGCTCCGGGATGGCTGAAATCCAATGTCTCTGATGTGGAGGCTCAAAGCACCGGAATCGTTTATGGAGGTTCTGTAACTGGAGCAACCAGCAAAGAGCTGGCACGCCAGCCTGATGTGGATGGCTTCCTCGTGGGTGGTGCTTCCCTCAAGCCTGAGTTTGTGGACGTGATCAATGCCAAACAATAAGCACCAGCATCTCCCCTACCCTCCAATGGGTGAGGACTAGGCTGCCCAGGAGCTTAGGAACTGCTCCCACCAGTCACGTGCTTCTGATGTCATCTGTCCAGTCTTGTGTCCTAATCCACACTGTACCTTCCCAAATCTTTTACACATCCCTGTAATGGTCGGGACCAGGTAACCCTTTACCACTTACAATGGATGAAATAATGTCACCTATTTCACCAAGGTGGCTTCCTGGCTGGAGGGGCAGGAGTGGAACAAACTCTGTCCCTGCAGGTCCTAGCAAGGGCAGGAGAGTAAAATCACCTTCCTTTTCCTTCTCGGGGCACACGGAGGCCAACATCCTCTTGCTCTCTAAGAGGTCAGGGATGTTCCCCTCTCCCACCGTGCCAAAGCCCTAGTATTGTGTTTGTGAGCCATCTTACTTGTAAGGGAAATAAAGGCCTGGTCCAAAAAAAAAAAAAGCAAAAAACAAACCACACACACACACAAAACCAAGAGAGCCATTGGAGAGATAGTAATCAGAGGAAGATGGAGGAAGATGGGGGCGGGGATTGAGATATTTCTGAGGCAAACTAGAAAAGCTTAATGAGCAAATGGACAAAACTGGAAAGGTGCTTGTAAGAAAGGGTGACTCAAGGGTTTGAAATCTGGGGATCTAAGTGGATAAGAGCAGTAAGATGGACAAGACGTTTAATATAAAGTTAAAGGAAAACCTCACAATTTGAGAATGGGTTGCCTTGAGTAAAGATCTAAGCTGGAATCTGGAATCTGGTAAAGATGAGTCCCTCTGGGCTGGTGTGTGGCTCAGCAGGTAAAAACCCTGACTTTTAAGCCTCACCTGAGTTTAATTCCTGTTGTCTGCACAGAGGAAGGAGAGAATTGACACCCTCAACTTGTTTCTGACCTCCATGTGCACATGGTGGCAAGGTGCATTCATGTGTGTGGGCAAACACACACACACACACACACACACACAAATAAATGTAATTTTTAAAAATACAAAACTTTCGCCGGGCGGTGGTGGCGCACGCCTTTAATCCCAGCACTCGGGAGGCAGAGGTAGGCGGATCTCTGTGAGTTCGAGGCCGGGCTGGACCGACAGCCTCCAAAACAATACAGAGAAACCCTGTCTCATAAAAAACCAAAAAAATTTTTTTCCTTTGCTTGTATAAAAATTAAGCAATGGGGCAGGTGTTGTGGCCCAGAGGCAAGTGCATCACTATGAGTTTAAGGTTGGCACAGTCTACATAGTGAGTTCCAGGAGAGCTGGGGCTACACAGTAAGACCCTGTCTAAAATAACAATAAGCAAATAAACAAAGCTAACTACTAAGAAATGATGCAAGTTGAAATTCTTCACAACATTTGAGTTTTATACAGGAAGTGTACATAGTTGAGAAACCTCAGCTTTGTGTGTGTGTGTGTGTGTGTGAGAGAGAGAGAGAGAGAGAGAGAGAGAGAGAGAGAGAGAGAGAGAGAGAGAGAGAGAGAGAGAGAGAGAGAGAGAGAGAGCAAGCCTAGGGTATTGCTCATGTACTCTTTCACTGGGCTATACCCCCAGCCCCAGGTTGAGCTATATAAAACTGTTAATGTATACCCCAGTAACTTTTTCTCTGGCATTGGGCAGTTGTTACATACTATTTATGCCTCAATTGTTCTATTTGTAACTGGGCTAAGGTAGACCTAGAATGTAGTGAGTAAAAGGTTCAGGCATTACACTGGCCTGCCCTGTTACCTGGCAGAATGCAGTCAGGCAGCACTCTGGCCAGCCCAGGGTTCCATGAAAGCCAGTCTGCACGCAGGTGAAAGGACCCCTGCCCGCTTACACTCTCTTCTCTCTTCACTCTCTCTCTCTTCACTCTTGCTCTTCACCCTCTAGCTTTTTACTCTCTTGCTCTGCCCTTTGCCCTGTGCCTCCTGTGTCTCTCTCCCTCTTCCTCTCTCCCTCTCCAACCACTGTAATAAACTATGGTTAATGTACTCCCTGTGGTTCCTGCTGTATCTGTCGGTCCCAGTTCCATTTCTAATTTTTAAGGTTTTGCAAAGTGTTGCACCCTTCCCCCATAGGGTCTGTCTGCTGACCACTTGTACTTAGCTTTTAGCTAAACACTTCTCATCCCCCTCCTCTCAGCAATGCCTGCAGCAAGTTCCTGTTTTCTGTCCATTCCTTGTCTAAATGCTAATTCCTGTTTGGGGCCCACCCTTTGCCAGAGGGCCCTGGGAACGTGGGCTTCCACCTTGGGGATTTTCCACCATGCGTGTCTTTGGTATTTAAGGCTCTTCCCTTGTAAGAATGAATGTCATTCTCCTTGTAAGAATGAGCCGCTGTCTTTGTCTTCATTCGCATCCTTAGCTCTTTGCCTCGGATGGTAGTGAAGTATTGAGGCGGCGCCTTAGCCGCAAACACACCTGCGGCCGGCTCGCTACACAAAAGAACAACACTGAGGATTACCTGAGATAGCACATGTGAAAACTTACACATCACATGTAACAAGTATTTGTGGAATGAACAGAATGACAGACCAAGAAACACCAGCTATGGACAATGCATCTGGACACACGGGAATTTTGGGACACCTTCTAAGGGACAAAATCTCTGGGCTCCTTCTGTTCCCCACGTGACCTGGGCAGCATGGACCTGAGTTTCTACCCTGAAGTTTGTGGTTAGTTTTGGTCATCTTGACACAAACTAGAGTCACCTGGGGAGAGGGAGCCTTGATTGAGGAACTGCCTCCACCAGGTTGGCTTGTGGGCGTGACTTCCGGTCATTGTCCTGATAATGATGTAGATGGGAGGGGTTGGGAGGGCCCAACCCACTGTGGCCAGAGCCACCCTGTCAGGGTCATGGGTGTGTAAGAAAGCAAGGATGGAGATCAACACAGTAAGCAGCGCGCCCGGGTGTCTGTGTCAGCTTCTGCCTTGGCTTCCCTCAGTGGTGGACTGTAACTCAGGAGTGAAATAAATCCCCCACCAGGATGCTTTTGGTCGTGGTGTATTCCACGGCAACAGAAAATCACGCTAGGACACAGTTCTTTGCCCACATTTCCTCATCAGAGCTCCTCCATGTCTCATCTCTGTCTGGAGTCTGCAGTATTTGCTGAGACTCGGAGCTGAGGTTCCTCTAGCAGAGCACAGGAATTCAACTCTAAGCAGCAATAACGCAGTCATTGGGTACTCGATCCTCCCATCTCCCCCACAGGCACTGTTCGCTTTTCTAGAGCTGCATGGCCATTGCTGTGATAATGAAGTTGCCTGCACAATAGTCGTGTCCTCTCACGTCTCCTCGATGGTTGGATCTGCATTTGAAATGCCAACGCTGTTGCTCTGTGGATCAGAAGCAGCCACAGCTACTCAGCACACAGCCCAGGTCTTGGAATCTAATTATTTTCATCTTCTCACAGTGAGTTCACTTCTGAACAGCTGTCTGTTTCAGAGAACAGCATTTTCACTCATTCTTCAGACTGCCAACTGCAATGATTACTTACTTTGGATGTCTTTCTAAATCGAGGAATTCAAGAGCTCTTTCATTTATTTACCCAGTATGCAGGAGCTGATATTAGAACTAGAGGTTTTAAAAGCAGTCGACTAAGGTCAAGATTTGCCAGTCTTGAAAATGAAATGTCTTGGGCTAGGGAGCTCCGAGGTGGAGCAGCCCAAAAATGTTTTCACTTGTTTCTAGCTACACACTCTCTCTGAATCTTGCACTGTCAGTATATTTTTGGGACTTGGAATCTCTGTTCCTGACCAGAATTTGCTGGTGGCACTCTCACTTTTTCTGCAATATATCAGGTACATTCCAGTTTATACTGGATTGGATTGGTCTCTGCCATCTTAGCCACAGTGAGCGAAGGGAGCATTACCTTGCTCTCCTGTGATTACTGGTTACGATCTGCACTTGGTTACAAGTGAACTTGGTTCACTGTACATATGCTTGGCTTTGAGTCATAGAACCCGGCAGAGGGCAGGGGCTGGCAGGTGTGCTCAATGGTTTCCAGGGTCGTGCAGACAGCCCTCAGCAGAATGTACCATTGGGCTTGGAGAGGCGCAGTCACCGCCAATAGTCACACTTTTTTTTTGCTTTATTTTGAGACAGGGTATGGCTATGTAATCCATGTTGACTTCCAAATAGTCAAATAGTCGCCCTCTTGCGTTAGCGTCTCAAAAGCTGGAAAGACAGACCTGCATGCCACATTTTACCCTCCTCCCTTCCGAAGCTGCACTTCCAAATTTCTCCGCCACGCGGCACGTCTTTCAGCTGGTGTCTGCGGTTCTCACAGGTGAGATGCTGGCAGGAAAGAGACCAGCGTTCTCCAGGGAACCCCCTGGTTTCCAACTGGGGGCTCCGCCCTTTTTGGCTGGAGCCTCTTTTTCATCACGTGATCGCTCAGACTTGTGCAAGATGGAGCTTGACTGTCGACCTCTTGCAACACAATCGTGTACGAAGTCCAAGATTCCCTGGCCTGATTCTGACAGGTCCCTGGGGGAAGGTGACACGGGGTGGAACCTCCAGGTCTGGAAGGACAGGAGCCCCAGAAGGATCTGTCCAAAAGCTTGGCAGCAGCGGCGACACCATTAGCCTGGAGTGGCCAAGCTGGAGTTGGAAGTGGAGTTCCGTGGGTTTGGGGCCGCGCCTGTCGCACAGAGGCTCCTCCAGGCCGAGACCCCAGCGCAGAATGAACAGAAGGCGGCGACCTCCCGGAGGAGTGGCCGGGCCAGGAGCACGCTGCGCTGCTTCTCCACCGCGGTCCTGTATGCAGCCTTCCTGGGGCTGGTGAGAGCTGAGGCCGCACCCCTCCCAGGCTGGGCACGAGCCTCCTGCAGGGGACCTGCCTCCCCAGCTGGACTCTCACCTTCGCTCCCTGCACGTTCTGTGACTTTGAGCACTTCGGACCCATCAGCTATCTCGTGGGCGCTAATTTAATCACTGTGGGTTACTGTCCAGTTCGAAATTGATTGTGCTATTTTCTAATTGCCTCAAACTTTCCTGGCGTTGCCTGGGTCTGCAGCCACTGCACCTCGAACTATAACTTACTACACAATAAACTGACTTTTCTAGCCCTTCCACTTCTCGATGGCCACCCACTTGGTTTTGCAAATAGGAACCAGGCCCAAGAGGAATGAGGCTTTTTCCTGGTCATGCAGGTGTTTTAGTGGCGAGCCAGAATCTGTCTCCCCACGATTCTATTGAAACGAGCCCTGCAGCACCTTTCATGTTTTCTTAGAGCAAAATGAAGTGGTTTGGCCAATGCCTGTGTAAACGGTGGGAAATTCCGTGTTGCTTGGAAATTGGGACCTGAGGGAGCTGTGGGTTGGGTTCCCCCAAGACAAAGCTATTTTTCCCCTCTTTGAGAGCCTCTCAAGCTTGGAGAGACTGACTGAAGCTATAAGCACTGAAAAACTTTCTGTCACCACCATAATTGATTGATCTAAGTGGAATCTCCATTCTTTACACGGTTCTGCTTTTTCGTTCTTGTTATCTGTCTAAACTACAAAGGATGGCTGGGTAGGAACACTTATTGCCCCCCAACCCTTGGGAGGGCAGAGTCTTGCTATATATCCCAGGCTGGTTTCAATTCTGCATTCTCCTGCTTCTTCCTCCATGCCTGGCCCTGATTATATCTCCTGAGGGGATATGACACACTGGGAAATAACATGATGTCATCAAGAAAATAATACCATGAAACTCAGCGCAATCCTAATGGCTGTCTCTGGGAACCAAACTGAACATAATCAAATAACCCAAATATTACATTAAAATAGAGTTCAAATATTTTATTTCCTATTGGTCAGAATTGTAGTTTGGGTTGTCATGTGACTAAGGACTATAGCAAGCTGTGAAATCCACTGACTTAAAGTCTTTTTGTAGTTAGCCTGTAACACACATGGGAACCTAAAAACACACTTAACTAGCATGACAAGAAAGTCTTCGGACAGCCAGGCTTACAACCCACTATTCTGGATGCCAGCAAGCCAACTTACCTGCTCCCACAAACAATATGCCTTTCTTTTTTCTGAGTTGTTTCCTTAAGATAGTCACTCATTCATTCATTCAGCAACAGCACCACCAGATATTTTATTGATTGGTTTAGTACTATCATCATCATCATTTATTGTTATTGTTACTATTATCATTATTGTTGCTGTGAATTGAACCCAGGACCTTGTCCATTTGACATGCATGCTCTCCCGGTTCCTCAGCCACCCTTTTCATTACTTTTTTTCCCTACTGGGTCTCACTATATAGCCCTGTCTGATGTGGAACTTGCTGTGTAGACCATGCTTGCCCCAAACTCTTAGACAACCACCCACCTCTGCCTTCTGAGCTCTGGGATCACAGGTGTGAGCCACCACACTCAGCCTCACTACTCTTGTACAGCAGTAAAATCAAGGGAACGCTAGGTACAGCATTCTATTTTACTCAGCAACACATACAAACCCACAACATGGCCAAGAAGATCCAAAGCTAAATTTTGTTCCACTAATCAATGGGCATGAATGTTCTCCTCCACCTGAGAGCTCCTCACCCTTCTGAGCAGGAACTCTGATCTGCTACAACACACATTTCCCCAAACTTACATCTTACCTTCAAGTACTACAACAGCACCACCTGTTGCCCAGAGTGAGTCTAGTTCGGGAATCCTGTTAGGATTTTTCTTTGGTGGAAGCTAACGTGTTTACCACATGGTTGGAACTACGGTACGGCTCCTTTGGTATAATTGTGGAAAGTATGGAAAACTGCTCAGAAGGCAGGAGAGAGCCAGGTCAAACAGCTAGTTCTCAATGATAGGAAAGTTGGATAGAGTGAAGAAATTCCCCATAGACCAACCTCGGTCCTTGGAGACTAGAAAACATGGCTACCTAGGGGCATTTGAGCAGAACTTAGTTAAATTTGCACACTCCTGAGTTTATGTAGCTCTTGAACATGGTCCAGTTGAAAACATCTTTTGTGATCCCTTAGCATGAAGTAATAGTGAAACGACAACTTCCTGGACTTAGTGGTCACATAGATCGTTCTAGGCCCTGTGTGCTCAAGATCAACCTCTTGCAGATGTCACTCAGATCAGTTCCCTGTATTTGCTGGTGACTACATTAGTAACTAGAAAGCCAGGACCATATTCCCATCGAGTGTAGGAGGCACAGAGCAGTGATATCCACCATGTCAAAGAGAGCTTTCCCTCCTTCTCTGGGGATGCACAGTGGTGGAGTAGAAACACGGAACAATGTTGGCCATAGTGGTAGTGTTTCCTGATTTGGAAGCTTTGATTCGCCATAAACCCGACAGCTGCTGCTTTTTGTTTTGTTGCATGGCATTAACCTTGATATAGCCTCCATGGTGCTGTGTATCTTCCTAGAAGGAAAGGTGGCATCAAGATAGCCAGTGATGGAAAAAGAAAGGTTTTGCAGTAACAGACCAGTCTTGATCCATGAGTTAGGCTGTCCCTAACTAGGATGCTCTCTGCTTCTTGGGAGAAACATTTCTAGGCAGGTTTGCTATAATGTCCCATATAGATGAATAGTTTCAAGAGTCTTGAGAGCTGTCAGTCTAGGACTCAGGGCTCTGATGATTTGGTGTGTATACACTGGTGTGGTCTCTTCCAACAGAGCCAGAGGGAGCCACTTATGGTGCAATTTCTAAGACTGTTTGTTGTTCAGGATCCAGGTCATGGAAGTTCACAGACTTCTTTTTCTGGTGAATAATTGGTCTTAACTCTTGACTCATGTCACACTTCCCAGTGACAGACCTCCTCCAAAAAGACCACACCCTCTAATCCTTCCCAAATGGTTCCACTAACTGGAGCCCAAGTATTGCAAAATATGAATCTATGGGAGCCATTCTCATTCAGACCACCACATTCTGCTCCCTGACCCCCTTAGACTTGTGGCCATATCATAATACAAAATGAATTTATTCCAACTTCAAAAGTCTCCATGGTCTTTCACAGTCCTAACCCAGTTTGAAAATCTGAAGTTTCTTCCGAGATACAAGGCAAACACTTAACTGTAAAATCAAAGAGCACAACACATATTTCTAACATACAATGGCACAGAATATACATCACCATTCCAAAATGGAGGATTGGGGCACAGTGAGGAAATCTGAACCAAAGCAAGACCAAAAACCAACAGGACAAACTCCAAATCCTGTAGCTCAATGTTTACTGTCAACACATACTTCTCTGCCTTGGGAAGTAATGCACTACATTTTCTTTCCAAAAACATATACTTTCCAAGAACTATCCTTTATGAAACTCCCTGTCTGCAGCTCTCCTTGGAAGACATCCCATAGCTCTGGCATCTCCAAAACCCTGTGTTCTCCAGTATAATCCATGCTTCACTTTACAGCATCATCAGTGACCTCTCTGGACTACCACAAAGGGAATCCCTACCACATACCTGACTTCAGCAGCTCTACTTAAAGCTTTACTTAATGGCAGAGGAAGAGTCCACAACGCCTTTACTCTTGTACCCTTCATGACTCTAAAGCCAGAATCATGTGGCCAAAGCTGCCAAGTCCTGCTGCCTGTTTGATGGAACCTGGCCCCTTCTTTGAGTTTGCATAACCTTTCCTTTTTATAAATGGGAAGCTTAGCTGGGTGTGGTCTTGACCTGAGAACACCACTTCCTTTATTCCATCTCTCATCAGGCCCCTTCTCTCTTTCTGCACAAACTCTAGCTCCGGCATTATATTTCCTGGTGCTCTTTTTCTCTCCAAAGTGTACGTTTTGTATTTCTTTTCTCCTTTTGCTCTTTTTAATTGTAGATCTGCCTAAAAGTCACTGATAATAATCAAGCCACCAAGTCAATAGGAAAGCTATCTTGAAATCTTCTCTGCCAACAAAATTAGCCCACAACTTTTGAATCTAGCCTCAGGCAGGCTCTTAAGACAATGACAAAAAGCAGCCACATCCTTTGCCAGAGTTATCACAAGGATGGCCATTAGCTATTGCTAGTATTGTTCCCCCTAAAGCCTCTGGAGCTCTGTCTCCATAGTCCACAATCCCGCCCCCACTACTCTTCCAAACAATATCTAACTGCTTTCCTAGTCCAAAGACCAAAAATCTTGCACATTCCTGAAAAAAAAAAAAAGCCAGTCTGGTCAGACCTGTCACGTCTATAGTCCTCTTCTTGATACCAGCTTTTACCTTAGTTACTTTTCAACTGTTGTGATAAAACACTATGACCAAAACAACTTATGAAAGGGGAAAAAACTAGTTTGGGGCTTACAGTTCCAAAGGGTTAGGTCATCATGGTGGGAGCATGGTAGCAGGTAGGCAGATATGGCACTGTAGCAGTAGCTGAGAACAACCACAAGGCAGAGTGAGGGAAAACTAACTGGGAATGCTATGGGCTTTTGAACTCTCAAAACCCACCCCAGTGACACACCCCCTCCAATCAGACACCACCTCCTAAATCTTCCCAAACAGTTCCACCAACTGGTGACCAAATAGTCAAACCTATGAGCCTTCGGGAGTCATTCTCATTCAAATCATTCATTGCCTAGGGCTTCCTGTTTGTACTAATCTTATTTTAACCTGTATTGACCTAAGTTTCCATCAATGACAGTAAATTTGCCTTTGTCAATTTATGCCAGTCATATGTAGACTGCTAAGTCTATTGATCATAACTCCTACAAGAAACATGTGTAGGATAACCTAAGAGCCAGTGTGGTACAGATATGTTCACTAACAGTCCCAACAATCTTTAGTCTTTGCAATAAAAAACTATGGAGGAGGCAAAATTTCATCACTAATCCTTAAGCCACCTCCTCTTTCTTTTTGCTATCTCTAGCATTAAAATATTTTACAAATTTCCTTCATCTCTAACTGTACATTTGTTTTAAAAAGAAAAAATTTACAATGTGTATCAGTGTTTTGCCTGAATTATATCTGTACACCACATACATGCCTGGTCCCATGAAAGCCAGACTAAGACATCAGAAACTCTTAAACTGGAGTTACAGACAGTTGTAAGTCAACATGTGGGCATTAAGAACCAAACCCAAATCCTTTAAAAAAGCAACAAGGGCTCTTAACTGATGAACCATCTCTCTGGGCCCTGGTAGCATCTTCTTAAGTAAAATGGTTTTAAAATTTAATTTAGCAATAGAGTCATGTAAAATAATATTAGACATACAAATATAGGCAGACATACTTCAACAAATAAGCAACAGCTATTAAACCATGGGAGTCCTTAGAAAACCCAGAAATCCTGGCTGTAGTGGTCTACAAGGATGCCTTGTTGCAACTGTTTTGAATGTTGAATCACCTGGGCCACTACTTCAGGGTGTCTTACTACATCAAATCATATTAGTCTGGAAGGAATCCACAGCTTTTCATTTTCTGTGGAAACATGAAAGAAAAATCTCTTTTCCAAAGTAACATGTTCTTAAGCTTAAATTTTGAAGTCAAAACATTTTAAAAATATATACATTGAATTAATCCAGCAGCACTTATGATCATGTGTATTTTAGCAGTTGTTTTTTTCCTTAGCAATTGAACAAATCAAACAATTCAAAGGCAACACAATAGCATAAAGTATCCAGACTCTCTGTGTGTTTTCCATCTTTACGTGGCTTATATATTTATTTATTTATTATTACTCTGTTTCTTTTACTTTTATTTTTTCCTTTTATGAGACAGGAGTCTCTCTGTTTACTTTTTCCTGCCCTGGAATTCAGTCTGACCTTGAAACCAGGCTGACTTTGAAATCACTAAGATTTCCTTGCCTCTGCCTCCCAAGTGCTGGGATTAAAGGTGTGTGCCACCATACCCAGATACTCTATTTCTTTTTTTTTTAAACAATTTATCCTGTTTCTTTTCTCTCATAAGCTCACATATATTTTTAAACACACTGTAAATCTTTTAGAGGTTTTTCTTCATCTGAATCTGTCTTTACTGTATATCTTTATCTTTTCTGGCCACTAGTCTTTTATCTGCTAAACAACATTGATAAAATTAAAGCCACAGCTGTTTTAGCAACTGTCTTTCCAAGATGGCAGGATGGGGTGGGGGGCATGACCATGGACAGATGTTTACAGCTAGCACTGAGAACTATGCTCACTGCCTTGGTCTATGCTGCCAGCTTGGAGATGTGGTCACTGCCGTTGACAGCTGTACACACCAGTCAATTGTTAGGGCCTCGTAAAAGAACTTTGCAGTTTTTGTTGTTGTTGTTTTGCTGCTTATGCCGAGTCCTTAATGGAGTCTCTTGAGTCTCTACTTGTCTCTAGCAAATCAGAACCCACCTGAGAAAAATGTTGATACCAAGAAGCTGTGCTCGCCTCTGTTCTTCGTTTTTGAAATCCCTTTTCAAGCTTTTGTCAAGTTTACATGGAAATTCATACAACCAATGTTGGGCGCCATTTTGTAAAGTGAGATTTCTCTGGTCTGGCTAGGTCCTGCTGCCCTTCTCTGCACCAAAGACGCTATATTAGTCATAAAGATGTTGGTCATTAGCTATGGTTTCTTATTGGCTAGCTCTCTAAATTATTAACCCATAACTACTATTCTATGTTTTTCCATGAGAAAGGTTCATGGACCTCTTACTCCTCTGGTGTCCTACATCTCGACTGTTCAGCGTCTCCAGAGAGAAGAGATTCCTGTTTGTCCCTGCTTATATTCTGATTCTGCCCAGCTACGTCACTTCCTGCCTGTCTGTACAGACCTCCAGGCCTCTATGGTTAGCTAGTGGCAGTTTCTGCCCCGCTATGTCACTTCTGGGGATCACATGACAATTCCTCTCTGACTAAACTTCTTAGAATCCTCCTCATATCCTAGTCCCACCTATCTTGCTGCCCTATTGGTCAACAGTGTTTTATTCATCAACCAATAAGGTAAACATATACACAAGAAGAACATTCCCCATCAACTTACATTCTATGTATTGCATATGTGCAGGACCCCATATACACCAGAAATATTGCAGTTCTGATACTGTAATATCTGAGACCAGAACTGGAAGATAGCTGAGGTTAAGATTCCTTGTTCTTCTTCCAGAGGATTGGGGTCCATTCTCAGCACCTATGTCAGGTGACTCACAAGTGTCTGTAACTCTCATTCCAATTTGAAACCCTCTTCAGGTTTTCTAGGAACCTTCACATACATGGTACACACACACACACACACACACACACACACACACACAAATTAAAAATAGAAATAAGAATTTAAAATGAAAACAATTTGATAACTTAAAATTTTGACATATAAATTCTCAGTGTACCTCAGAATACAGAAAACTATTTCAAGTATATATTTAAATATATGTTTCAAATGTATGATAAATGCATATTTTATACTTTTTGTTTATTATTTTGAAACAAGGTCTCATACAGTCGAGGCTGGATTTGGATTTACTAGGTACCTGAGTATGACCTTGAACTCCAGATGTTTCTGTCTCCACCCCAGGAGTGCTGGGATTACAGGTGTGCATCACCACAGTCAGTTTTGTTCAGTGCTAGGAAGTGTGCCCAGGCCTTGTGTGTGCTGGACAGACACTCTACAACTGAGCTACATCTCCACCCATATTTTTATTATTATTATCATTGTTATATTGTCACGCTAGATGTCCAATGTAGACTTGAACATGTTGGCAGGCACTCTACCCCTGAGTTATAGCTTGAGATTCTTTTTTGTGTGTTTCGTTTTTTCAAGACATGGTTTCTCTGCACCGCACTTGCTGTTCCAGAACTCACTATGTAGACCAGGGTGGTCCACCTACCTCTGCCTCCCAAGCACTGGGATTACAGGTGTGTGCCACCACAGACTGGCTTATCTTCAGCTGCTTGTTAAGTTTTGTCTAAGTAGGAAAAAACCGTAAGAATGAAATCATTATTGTCTGGAGAGATGGCTCAGCAGTTAAGAACACTGGCTATTCTTCCAGAGGACCTGGGTTCAACTCTCATCATCCACAACTCCAGTTCCAAGGGTTGTAAAACACCCACAAACATAAAATAAAAGTAAATAAATCTTTAATATTCTTTAAAAGAATTAAATAATTTTTGAGGGAAAAAGTTTTGAAATGATATCAACCAGGGTCTTTGGCTCTGGTAATATTAGTATCATCATTGTAAAAATATTTCCTGCTGTAAATGAGCCTTAAAGTAAGCATCCACTTTGTAACCCATGCCTCATTTCTTTTTGTAGTCGACAAAAATGAATATCCGTATTACCTTGTTTCCAGGTAAATCTTTCATCTGTTTTAATTTCAGGGAGTGACTGTTGCCATATTGGGACCTACATTTCCAGACCTGGCAAGAAATGTGAACCGGAACGTCAGCAGCCTTTCAGAAATATTCGTGGGCCGTGCCCTTGGCTACTTGTGTGGCTCTGTGGTTGGCGGGGTGCTTTTCGACTGTATGAATCATTTTTTACTTTTAGGTAAGCAAACATCAGCTTTTGTTAGCAACTTGACTCTAAGTATGAAAAGCACAGCCTTAATTCAGACTCAACCACAGAAATGAGGTAGTGTGGGAATCCTCCCTGGCAACTGGGCTCCCATGGTTCCTGTCCCTACCTTGGGGAAATCTGTCCTGAGCCCTCTGGAAACTCTCTAGTCCTCAAGTTTGTCTGTTGAGGCGCCACTCTCGGGTCACACATTGGCTGACCAGACAGCTCTGCGTACTTGGTGATATGCAGGGATCCCAGGACAGAACGAGTTCTCCATGCCTGACCAGGCTCTGGATTGAACATGAAGAGGCAGGAGACGGTGGTGAACTCTTAATAGGCTGCATTTTTGTCCGAGTTTCTCCACGTCAACCACCATGAGCCAAAGGCTTTTTCCATATTCTGGAAATGATGGCGAAGCTCTTAATATACTCACTACTGAATAAATTGACTTTGTTTATAGAATATTTAGATTCCCATTAATACTGTGGAAGAAAGGAAAACAGTTTGTTGCTTGTGGGGATCCCTGCAAATGCCATACCTGGTAGAATAATGATCCGAGTAAGGCAAGAGGGAAATCCACTTCAGCATGACTTGTTAGCCAGTGTTGGTTCCTACAGTCTGACAACTGGCACTTTATTTCTTAGATGTTCAGGTTCAGTACAGCTTTTGAAAAGAGTTTCCTGGTCACATTGATCTCAATCCATGTACACAACAAAGCTTAAGGTGTGCCTACACCAAAACTCTTTTGCAAAGTACATGTGATAAAGATGGGTTCTATAGCTTAAGGAATTAGGGGAACGGCAAGTGTGGTCGTGGTCATAGACCATGAGACATCTCCCCTAAGGATGAGTTCTATTGACTGAGAAACAGTGCTCACCATAAGGTCTAGACAAGGAGTATCTGGGATAAACATAACATCCTGGGCTGTTAACAGCATCCACTCCCAGCCTTCTGGGTGGGAAACAGGTGCACATCTCTCCAGCTGAAGAGATCGCCCGGCGTGCTTACATTCCTGGTGTCCCTCGTGCTTATCTGTGATCACAAAGACCTTGTGCTCTCTACAACTGTTGAAGAATAAGCAGACAATAGCTCTTATTTCCAAATAAGCTTAAAGAATATATGTGTATCTGCAGTTTGGTGTGAGAGAGTCCAGCTCAAGGCCTGGGCCTTCTAAACGTGTGCTCTACCACTGAGTTACACACGCACTCCCAAACACATCTCTTACACTTCCCTTGCTATCTGCTACACCCATTTATTTCAAATATTTTTATCATTTTATGTTATTTAGGGAGAGGTAGGGCGTGGGGAAGTCAGGAAAGACGGCCTCACCCCTTACCACAGGTGTGCACCTCACCCGGGCAGGCAGGAGAGCTGGCCAGGGTCCTGAGAGTGGGAGAACTAGCCCCGTCCCTCACCAGCTGCAGCACACAGGACAGCGACCATGCAACCTGACAGGCAGCACACTAGAGCTGACTCTGCTGCTGTAGCTGAGCCAGCACTGAGCGCCAGAGAGCAGACCCCACCCCTCCTCGTATGCCCCCTGCTGCCTTGGCAACACAGTGGAGCGGGAACTAGCGGTGTGAGTGTGGGTGAGCCGGACCCAAGGGCCTGAGAGCAAGAGAACTGGTCCTATCCAGATGCTTGCTGTAGGCTGCATTGGGTGAGCTCTCAAGGCAGTGCTAGTGAGCCAGGTAGAGACAAGGAGGGAAAACTAGTGAGATGACCAGCCCAGCTGCCACCCAGGCCCAGAACCAGGATCATGAGCCAGCCCACCCCAACACCACCCCATCTGTGAACTGTGAGCATGTGAAGGGGTTAAACCCACAGATCCAAAACTGCAGGATCTCCACAACACAGAACAGGATGTCCAAGAGGAGCCCCGGTGAGAGCTCATGATTGATGGTGCAGCAGAAGCCAGAAACCTCAACCAGATCAATGAGTCATGGCAAGGAACACTTGCAAGAAAAGATGAATGGACTAAAGGGTGAACTGTGTGACTCAAAGGGCCACACTACAGCTTCCATGGCGACATTCTTCTTTTTATTTACTTATTGGCTTAGTTGTTTATTTTCTGTTTTGTTGTGATTGTTGCTGTTTTGGTTTGTTCTTTTTGTTTTTGTTTGCTCTGTTTGGTTTTTGGTTCTCCTTTTAAATTTTGTTTTGTTTTGGCAGGGTAGGTTGCAGGGGTGGAGGGGAGATGCAGGGGGCAGGGACGGGGAGACTGTCAAGATCGGAATGCATGATGTAAAATCGCCAAGAATCAGTTAAATAAAAAATGTATATTTGATTAGTTGCTAGCAGAATGAACCATGTCTGGGCCAAATTTGAGATTGCTGTGAAGGAGGGGCATGGAGAAGGACTTTAAAAGGAGAAAACCGCCCGAAGACCTTCCACATCTATGCAAGCCGGCAAAAGCAGTTCTGTCCCGCCAAGTGAGGTGGTGAAGACAACCGAAACCAATCTTTCAGTATCGGTGTCAGCAAGTCACTGAGTCAAGGTTACTGGACTGGAGTCAGATGGCGAGTGGGGAACAAGATGGGTGCCCGGCATAAAATGGAGCTTCTTTAGACATGCCATTGCACACTGACTCTAGAACATGCGGATTAAATCACTGATTCACATTATGTAGGGGTAAAGGCTGGTAGTTTAATTAAACCATTCAATCAGATCCCAGCCCCCATCTTGAGTATCCCTTTTCGTAACTCTGATTTTAACAGGTATTTATAATTCCAAAGGAGCCTGGAGGCCAGCATGAGCTTTGGTTTGCTAATGGGCACCATATACAGTGATTTGTCTTTTGGCAGTGATAGGGAAATGGCTCCTTTGGTGGAGAGGAACTAGCTTCCTTTGAACCTAACATTCCAGCCGTTTGTCAGTAATAAGGGGTGATATAGTCTCTTCTGTAACTGCTTCTCAGATGACACAGGTCGTTGCTGTCAGGTCCAGGGAGGCTGGACAAAGGCCTGGACAGGGTACACATGGTTTACTGTCCATGGTCTGTTGGACCATCTGGGGCAAGCGAAGTGTTGGTTATTATGATATGTAGCATGGGTGGGATTTTGGCAGATCCCATTGTGGGACAAACACACCAGCTAGACGGAGGTTACTTGGGAAGCTTTACTGGGAGAAGGGAAGGGACTAGAAAAGGGAAGGGAGAGAGAAAGAGGGACAGACAGACAGTCAGACAGAGATCTGCCTGCATCCTCAGATAAACCAGGAAAGGAAGCAGGAGTGGGCAGAGCTTGTCTCTTAAAGGGACCTTTGCGCCTGTGTACAGAGTCAGGGTACTGCCTGCCAGGGGTGGGGCCTGGTTTGCCTGGATGATAACACAGGTAGCTTTGGAGCAGCCTGGATGCTGACCTGAAGCTGGGGCTCAAGCTGGTAGGAAATTCTGTTGGACGCATCCGGTTACATCAGCTTTCAGAAAGTTCAGGACTACATAACGAAGCTGGTTCTCTCCTAGCATGTAGGTCCTGGGGACCGAGCTTAGGTCATCGGTCTTGGAAACAGGTACCTTTACACACTGAGCCATCTCTCCAGCCCCTTCACTATATATTTTGAGACAGGGTCCCTCACTGAACCTGCATTCTACCATTGGGCTAGCTGACTGGCTAGCAAGCCCCAGGGATCCTCCTGCCACCTCCTCCTCAGCCCTAGGACCACAAGTGTGCACAATTTTCTGTTTGTAAGAGCACAGTCAGGCCATTTACTGTCAGTAGGCACAGTTTCACTGAGCTATCCCCTCCAGCAGTATTTAGAGTTTTACTTCAAATTTCCACAGCTGCACTCTCGTTTGCCTTTTTGTTACCTCAAATTCCTTTCAAATTATAAATGTGAAACCTGTAAATTTCCTCAGCCTATCTTATTTGTTAGAAAGATTGTTGTATTATGTTTATAATTTGTTTATAGTATTGCAATGGTACTCATGTCATAATTATATATATATATATATAATATTATTTATTTATTTGAGGCAGGGTTTCTCTGTATAGTCCTGGCTGTTCTAGAACTTACTACATAGACCAAACTGGTCTCAGATTCACAAGATTCACCTGCCCCTGCCCCACAAATGCCAGGATTACACCATCACGCCCAGAACTTATTTTAATTACTTTTAATTCATAAAGATAATATAATATTTACAAGACATAACCCATTTGTAGAAGTTCTCAAATGAATGACCCGACTTTCAGTTTTGTTTTTAGGGCATTGACCTGACTGCATGAATTCTGTCTGTAACTGCCATTTTCACCCTTCATCTTAGGGATGTCCATGCTGGCTACCACAACTGGTCTTTATCTCATTCCTTTCTGCAAGACAGCGACACTACTGATTGCCATGATGTCTGTATTTGGTGTTTCCTTTGGCGCTCTGGATACAGGTTAGTGGCTGTGAGTGTTGTCTCTAGGGAAAGTGGATGAAATTACACTATCACCTGCAAGGCTCATGAAATGACATGGACTCATATGATGGTTGTAGTGTCAGTCATTTAAGCATAGCAGCTGTGCTTCTTACCAGCCAGGGTGCCACTTTTGAATAATTGGTGGCTAAGTAAACTAAGCTATTTCCCTGTGAGGGAGTATTGATTTTCAGTATCCAAATGTGAGAGGGCTTTCATTTTGCCACAGAATTTGATCATATTAAAAGAAGAATGAATGGCTTATTCGAGTGGACTGAGGTTAGAACTGAAATTGGTCTGTAAAAGCACAGAAACAGACTTCCAACTTAAAACACACCCATTTTCGAGGTCAGACACATGTATGTTGTACACAACTTTTCTCAGTTCATGTGCCCTGGCGTTCAGCTTCCTATCCCTCCCCTCCTTTCTCTGGCAGGGTTAAGGTGAAGGTGGGAATATCTTATGCTTTAGGCTTCATTTGGCTGAAAAACTACAAGCGGAATTATGTATTTGTCTGATTTTTAAAAAGAAAGGACAGAGTTGATGCTGTTTCACCTTGCAGCTGCTCTGACAGGGTAAGCTCAGTTTCTAACTGAATGCCTTTGCTCGTAAATAAATAATCTGTGGTGGTTGCCGACTCCAAGTACATAAAGCTAAAAAATGTGCAATGTATTTGTTAAAGTTTGAAATATATTTATTAAATATATTATAAAATCTGCAATGTATTTATTGGGTATATCATATGCATAGTAACAAGTACATGGATAAATATTATACCCCCAATGTGGTATTTGCACTGTTTTGTAAAAACCTTGCAAATGTGCCTGGCTCTAGAAGGTGGTGATCACCTCCCTGTAGGTCACGTCTATGAGACATTCTGATGCATAGTTCTTGGTGGTGCACTAGAGATCTTGACCCACATAATCGGCTCACAGCTGACATTTGATAACTTAGAGCATCTGTCATGTTCACACTGCAATGCATATTCATCTGCTTTCTAATGGCACTGAATGTGGTTGGTCTTTCTTTGGACCACCAGCTCCTAAATAATGATACAGACTTGCTAGTTATGAAAGCTTGGCCTTAGCTCAAGATTATTCCCAACAAGCTCTTATAGCTTAAATTAACCCATTTATATGAATCTACATTCTGCAACATGGCTTGTTACCTCTTCAGCAAGCTTCATGTCCAACGTGCTCCACATCTTGCTGGTAAACCTGCCTCTATTCTTCCCAGAGTTCCTCTCTTTCCCTGGAAGTCCTGCTTATTCTCTCGTGCCTGGCTATTGGCCATCAGCTCTTCATTAAACCAATCAGAAGGCACCTTAGGCAGAGACACATCTTCACAGTGTACAAAAAGATTATCCCACAATAAATGAAACTTTTTTGTTTTTATAATGGTCTTTAGATTTTTTCTTTTATCATTTTTTATTTTAATTTTAAATAGCTTGTTTTACATGTCAATCCCAGTTCCTCTCCCTCCCCTCCTCACGCACTTCCCTCCCCCCCAGCCTCCCACCCTATTGCCAATTCCTTCCACATAGGGGATATCTAGAGTCTGTCATTTCACTCCGGGTAGGGTCCAGGCACTCCCCTAAGAGTCCAGGCTGAGAGAGCATCCCTCTTTGTGCTATGGACACACGATGACGGTTTGTATTCCAGGGATAGACACTGATCCACTGCTCAGGGCCCCATAGGTTGCCCAGGCCTTCTCACTGACACTCACATTTGGAGGGGTCCAGATCAGTCCCATGCTGGCCTCCCATCTGTCAGTCTGTGGTCCAAGAGCTCTCCCCTGTTCAGATCAGCTGTCTCTGCTGGTTTTGCCAGCCCATTCTTTGCCAATTTGCTCATCACTCCTTTCTCTCTGTCACTGGGTTCTTTGGGTTCAGTTCAGTGCTTAATTGTGTGTTTGCCTCTGCTTCCATTAATCACTTGATGAAGGCTCCCGGATGGTTATAGACATCTTTAGATTTTTATTTTTATTATTTTTATTATGTGTATGTATTTGTGTCTGTATGTGGGAATGTACACATGAGTGAGGGTGTCCAAGGACATGAGACTCCCATTGATGCTTGGGATGCTCCCATTGGGGACTGGAGTTATAGGGGCCTGTGAGCCACAAGACTTAGGTGCTAGAAACGCAACAGCAGTAAGTTCTCTTAGTAGGTGAGCTGTCTCCCCACCCCCTGGTCTTTTGTAATTTTACTAAGTTACTATGTCTAGCAGATGATTTTCTCCGTGTTTCACTGGCAGGTGCAAATGTCCTCATCTTGGATCTTTGGGGTGATGAAGGAGCCCCACACATGCAGGCATTGCACTTCAGTTTTGCCTTGGGTGCCTTCCTGGCTCCCCTGTTGGCCAAATTGGCCTGGGGAACATCAGCATCCACTCAGAACCACACAGCGCCCGACTTCAACCCTCTAATGCTGAACGGATCCTCTGAAGCCACCTCAGACTCTCTGTTTGCAGTTCCTGAGGACATGAACCTGCTGTGGGCATATGCTTCCATCGGCACCTATGTCTTAGTAGTTTCTGTCTTTCTGTTTGCTCTGTTTTGTAAGAAAAGCTCAAGGCAGAAAAAATCCCTGGCATCTGCTCAGAGAGCTCGAAGAGCTAAATATCACAGGGCCCTGCTCTGTCTCCTCTTCATGTTCTTCTTCTTTTACGTTGGAGCCGAGGTGACATTTGGCTCTTACATATTCTCCTTCGCCACCACCCATGTTGGCATGGAAGAAAGTGAAGCAGCGGGCTTGAACTCCATCTTCTGGGGGACCTTTGCTGCCTGCAGGGGCCTGGCCATCTTCTTTGCAACATTCTTAAAGCCCGGAACCATGATTGTGTTGAGTAACATTGGCAGCCTTGTCTCGTCTTTCTTTCTGGTGCTTTTTGACAAGAGCCCTCTTTGTCTCTGGATTGCAACTTCTGTGTATGGAGCCTCGATGGCAACCACGTTTCCCAGTGGCGTTTCCTGGATTGAGCAGTACACCAGCATCAGCGGGAAATCTGCAGCGTTCTTTGTAATTGGTGGTACCCTAGGAGAAATGGTGATGCCTGCAGTAATCGGAATTCTTCAAGGCCACTACCCAGATCGGCCAGTCGTTCTGTACACCTGTTTTGCATCAGCCATATCCACTGCTGTTTTATTTCCTGTGATGTATAAGTTAGCCACCTTACCTTTGTAATGTGAATAAAAAGTAAACATCTCTGGGGCTCAGAACACTTTGCCCTCTAATTGTGGCCCATAAAGAAAAGAACAAATGGAAAGATGGAGAAAAAATGAATGAAATGGATTTTGAAGTGGTTGAACAATACAGTGAGGCAATATGTAGCTCTCCAGAAACATCTGATGGAACCACAGTTGGTGTCCTGATTGATTGCTCTCAGTGCATGGATTTGGATAAACAGTTTGGTAATCCTCTGTGGAATGCTGTGTTCCTTTCTTGTGACTGTGACCAGTACTTGACAAGAAGCCAAGGAAGGGCTTATATTGGCTCACAGTTTGAGGATGCAGTCTATCATGGAGGGGTGGGCATGGTTGCAAGAAGCTCCATGTGTTAGAAGTGTGGAGTTGGGTACCTTATCCCTTTTGGCAGAACAGGAGGCAGAGAGGGAACCAAAACTGTGTCCAGATCTAAACTTTCAAGCCCCGCCCTTAATGATGGACTTCCTCCAGAGAGGTCCCATTTCCTCCAGAGAAACCCCACTTCCTCTAGAGGAGCCTCACTTTCCCCAGAGAAACCCCACTTCCTCCAGAGGAGCCTCACTCCCTAAAGGTTCCACAACCCCGTAAAATAGCATCCCTAGAGGGGCACCAAGTGTTGAAATAAATAAACCTAGGGGTACATTTCATATTCAAGCTACAACAAGCATCTCCTCAGAAACCAGAACAAGAGTTCTTATTGACATCCCTATTTCTTAGGGAATGGGGACAGTGCAGGTCTAGCACAAGTCTCTGCATGGGCTCAGGCAAGCATTCTGCCTCTAAGCAGATCTTCAGCCCTTGGTTCCCATGAATTCACACATCTAAATAGGCCAGTCAGAGAAAAACATAAACAATGCTTCAGTGGTCTCTGGGGATTGAAGTTTCGAGGTCGATGTGTTGGAAAATGCTAAGATATTTTGAAACATTCTGTAATTCCCTGAGTGTTTCACAAATACCTCATGGTCCTGTCAATCTCTTGTTACAAGTCTTGTTTCGGCAGGAGCCATTAGGCAGTATTTTATCATCTTTAACTTTCAGAGTATACAAAGAGTCTGTGCATGTTTGAAAAGTTGGGTAGCACTCAAGTAGAACAACACCACTGAGGAAGATCTGCTGAGCAAATAAATGACCAGGCCAGTCACATTCACCAGGGAAGCTGTGGAGAGCAGTTTCATGAAGGGTTGTATTTGGATATAGATAGATACTTTCATTTTGTTTGACTTTACTAGTTGCTGGATTAAAGAAAGCTAATGGCTCATTTTCCTATGCCCATAAAGAGTTATGCGATGGCTTTGAAGAGAGCTGCCTGCAAGGCCTGGCTGCCTTCTGGGTCTACGCTGAGACACTTACTATGGCCTCATTTGTCTCGTCCCCTGAGTTGTGATCCTAGAAATGAAAATGAGATGCCTTTCCAGCAGAGTTTGTCCAGGATGTGTGCTGGAACAGCCAATGGCTCGTTTCAAAAGAGAAGTGAGCCAGAACGAGAGACAGGCAAAGTCTCCGCTGACTATGAGTATATGCCAGTGTGATAGTCTTGCTGTTCATGTGCCCATTGACTTTCTGACCAGGGTGTTTTTACGACTACGTTTCACTGACCTGAAGATGTCTCTTTCCTTCACACTTTATGCATACCTGAAACAGACTATGTTTTATACTCAGTGGTCATTTAATATCATGACAAATTATAACTGACAGCAGGTTTCTGTATACAGATTAAAGATAACATTATTTACATTCAGTGTTTTATATTGGTGAAAAAATGGTAACTACTTCAGTTGGAGATTTTGTATTACTTTGAAGACAATCTTTAGGGGAAAAGCTATGTATTTATTTATTTTGAGATGGGTCTTACCATGTCATTTAGCTTTGTCTCAGGCTCTAGAACTCAAGCAATCCTCCTTCCATAGCCCTCTGAGTTCTTGGGAGCTACGAGAATTACTGCAGCATTGGGTATTTTTAATATGTGAATGTTTGTCTTTGTTCAGATAGGATTTTTAGACAGTGTGTTCCAATGACAGTAGAATGAATCTGTGTCTAGTTTCATTCAGGTGGGGTTAGTAACACTGTTTTCCTACCTTAGTGCGGGGTGAATTTGCATATAGTCATATTCAGAGATCTGTAGATACCTTGTTCTCCTGCTATGAATATGAGGACTGTAGACAGATCGTTTTGAGCCCTTAACTACCTCAGTAAGACATAATAGGTCTAGAACTTGCTGTTTCTAGATTTGATTTTCACTAGTTTTGAGTAATAATTACATTATAAACACTGAAAACATTTGACAACTTTCATTTACAGCAAAGCAGTCTGTCTAGGGGTTGGAACACTTGGGTTACCCATCATACAACACTCCTCCTGCCTAGGTCTAAAGTACCCGACACTGAGAAGGTGGAGTGATGGCCATGAGTCAGAGAGGAAAAAGGCCACTTCATACTGAATACCACAAGAACTTATGCTTGCTGTCCTTTTTTTTGTTTGTTTGTTTGTTTTTGTTTTTCGCTTTTCGAGACAGGGTTTCTCTGTATTGTTTTGGAGGCTGTCCTGGAACTCGCTCAGTAGATCAGGCTGGCCTCAAACTCACAGAGATCTGCCTTCTTCTGAGTGCTGGGATTAAAGGCTTGGGCCACCAACTCCCGGCTTGCTTGTTATCCTTTATAACCAGTAGGAGTAGTTTTGCTTGCTTCTTCTTTATGGCGAATGGCATTTAATTCCAATCTGACTGTAGTGGGTTTATTTTCTCATATCTCTGTAAGTTGCTTCTGAATAAACCTCCAGTTAAAGTGAAACATAGCATCTTTCCTCATCACATGCACAAAACTTGGTTCATGTAACTGTCCTAATAGCTCAGGAGAAGAGGAATGGAGGAAGGGCTTTTTCTTTTTGTAGTGTGCTTTTATTTTAGGATTGAGAGTTCCACTGCTCAATTTATTGCTTCTCCTAAAACCCTGGGGCCTTAGGCTGTAGTATTAACTCTTCAAACTAGATATCTTGCCTTTAGCATCAACTTCTTTAAAATTGCTATTTATTTGTTTGTTTGTTTTTAAGCAGGCTCTTGCTGTGTAGTTTTGGCTGACCTGAGACTCACTATGTAGCTCAGACTGGCCCGAAACCCAAGGTATGCCTCCTACTTTTAGTCTCTTGAGTGCTAGCATTTCAAGCATGAGGAACCACACCCAGATAACATTCAGAGAACAAAAGAAACAACCAGGGGAGATAAGGATCATGGTAAGATTTGTATTTAGAAGAAAATATAAAACTACCTGAAGGGGCATGAATGATGGTCATGTTCCCAAAGGCCATAATTAATCTCCAGTACAGCAAAGCCACAGATAGCATTGCCCTTGGTACAGCGCAGGTTAGTGGGGAGCTTTCCAGGGTTTTTTGTTTGCTTATTTGTCTTTTTTATTAGAATTGAATGCCACTGTGCTTGTTTGTTTTATCCTGGGATACAGAGTGCTTTTCTCTGAACTGTGATATGAGAGGTGCTTACCAATACTGAAGGAGGGCAAAGGGCCATCCTCTTTGGCCCCCCCCCCAACCCATATAAATCCCAGGAGGAGGAAGGACACAGGAAAACTGTGATTGCTGTGTTCTGTTGCCCACAGCACTAGCCATAAGCCTTTGATTACGTAAGAATTACCTTCCCGTGTTCCAGCTTTCCCAGTGCCGGGCACTTCTCACTGAAATGCCCACGTGTTTGCGGTGGGGCCTGCGCACTGACTTTCAGTTGCTCTCAGTTGAGAACCAGAGCCTTTGGGAATGCAGGAAACAGGACCTCTGCTGGGGGGTAGAGGCTGGTGAAGCTGTGCTCTTGTGGGTGACTTTACTGTGCAAGAATCCTCTCTGAAGGACAAGCAGGGATTTGGAGATGCCCTGTTTGCTGTCACCATCGCTGCTGCTCGGTCAAGTGGAGAGGAAGGTGGATTCTGTGGCTGGAAGTTCTGCTCAAACACCAATTCCAGACTGTCTGCAGCGCGCCTGCATTCTGCTCAGGCACTCTAATACGTTGTGATTTTATTCCACAATCAGTTGTAGCTTTATTTCCTTGTTGAATGGCATAGGAGGAGGACTTGACCACGCCTAAAGTATGGAGAAGAAGTTTAGTGTAGATATAAGGGGGAAGCAGGCAGAGGGAAGAGTTGAGGCTGGACGTGGCCTGAAGACTAAACAGGACCCAAGGGAAGAGAGGAGGAGCAAGAGAGGCAGCTGGGCAAGAGGCTGCTGGGGGCAGGGAGGGAGGCAGAAGCCCCGCCCCTGGGAGGCAGAGGTTTAGAGTAGGGGGCGGGGTGAGACGCGCTGGGCGGAGTCACAGGTACTGAGGCAGACTTGTCCTGGCTATCAGACCTAACACTCCTAAAGAGTAGGAGTGGTCTTGTGAATTTATTACAGCTACATACAATTGCATTCACTGTATATGCTTGTATAACAGCTTGAGTAGAATACCGTGGCGCGTGAGTGTTGGAATAAAGGCGCGCGCTACTGTGTTCAGCTTTTTGAGTGACTTTCTTATGCTGGGAATCGTAGATGCGCTTTCTTTTCTGCTGCCAGCCCCAAATAGCAACACAGGGAAAGGTTGACTCTTAGCTTAGGCTCGTCTTAACTAGCTCTTGTAACTCAAATTACCCCATTTATAATAATCTACATTCCGTCATGTGGCATTACTCCTCATTTAGCTTGCGCTTCCTAGTTCTTCTCTGTCTGGCTGGTGACTCTGTCCTTCTTCCCAGAGTCCTCTCTGTCTCTGGAAGTCCCACCTAACCTCTTTCTAGCTATTGGCCGTTCAGCTTTTATTTACTAAAGCAATCACAGCAATACATTTTCATACAGTGTACAAATACCCCACAGCAAGGAATTGTACTCATTCGGGGGCACACTGGGGGTCAAATCAGACAAAACATCTGATGTCGTGTGAAGTCTGTTTCTTAACTGTCTGACATGAGTAACTTTTAAAGAACTATGTTGCATTCCTGTCTGTGCTGCTTTTAGCCCTTTACTGGCTATGAGACCAACTGCTTCTGCTGGACACATCTAAACGCCCCCCCCCGGGCTTCCTGCTTGTTTGCTTTGGTGCAGGTGCTGTTGCTTTCTGAGGGCTCTGGTTACAGGTGTGACCCACTGGGCCTGGCCTACACACCGATGATTTCCTTATAGAACTGGATGTTGCTGGGTCCTAGCATCCCTAATCAAACACTATTGCAGTCAGGTCTGGTGGCATTTGCCTGTAACCCCAGTCTTGGTAAGCTGAAGAACGGTGAGAAGTTGAAGTCAGCCGGAGCTACAAAGTAAGATGTACTGCAAAGGGGGGGGAGGAACCAATTAGATCTTCACCAAATTGGCTTCCGTCAGCCTTTTCACCATGAGGAGGCCTGGTTTTAGGAATATCTATAGGATATTGGCAGAACTTGAGAAACATTGAGGAGACAGAAAGAATCAAGGTGTGATCTCTGGAGTCTGCCCAGAAATGACCAGGTAGATAGTGCCAGCATAAAAATCATGCCTCTGATTTTTAACTGCCTGTTAGTTGTCATGATTTTGCTGTTTCAGAGGCCACACAAACACCCCGAAATTCTCAGATCTGTGGGTTTGGAGAGCAACTGTGGCCTTTGTGAGTCTGTACATGAAACAGGGACACAAAGGAGGGTCGTAGGAAGGAAAAAGGGAGCTGATTCAGAAGATGTCCCTTAGAAGTAATTTGGAAAGGGCATAGTGACCACACAGGGGTGAAGCTGTTTTTGCAGGATGATGAGACTAAGGTTTGTGGTCTAGGAGCCTCAGAGTATTCTGAAAGGGGGGACACACCCACAGGGGTGGGATGGGGGTGTAGGATAAAGACCAAACTAAATGACATCGTCTTCTGCGAAGAATGGAAGACCTCAGCTAGCAAAACTTTCCTTGGCCATCTAATACACCAAGCTTTATCCAAGCTAATTGCTGCATTGGAAGAGACTGGTACTCAAAAACCACAGTTTGGACCTAGATATGTTTCTGGAGTTGCTGTTGCACTTTTAACAACCACCAGGGCAGAAGCATATTGAGAATTACTTAGCACAAAAGAAAGATGATAATGTCTGAGCTTCTTCGAATGTTTGTGGAGTAAAACCGAGGACACAAGACTGAGAAATGACAGAACCAGGGGCAGGACTCTGGCAAGTTTAAGAGGTCCAAGTTGTCCCCCTGCTTTCCCTCCGCAGGTGACCCTAGGGGCGGCCTCACCTTGTGGGTCTGGGAGTGCTCTACCTTGGGGCACAGCAGTGTCTACTGTCTGGAGGCTGCATTTGCACCCAGTACCCTGGAAGACCAGCAGAGGCTCCAGCTGCAGTGTGCCAGCATGGACAGGTAGGCTGGGGAGGAGGGGTGTGGCTTGGGGCGCGGCCACAAGCAACAGGGAAAGGACCGAATGGGCTGCGCCCATATCTTACTTGCCGGGACAAAGTTGAGGGCGTCTAGAGCCTTTCAGAATCGCCAAGCTGGAGCTGGAACTGGAGACAGAGCTGGAGTTCAGCAGGGCCCCGGCTCCTGCCACTGGGCAGCGGCTCCTGCAGGAATCCCAGGACCCAGAGACTCGCAAGGAGCAGGAGGCAGCTGCGGCCAGGCATCATGGTGGGACTGGATGCGGGCTGCTCTGGCTCACCACGCTGGTCCTGTATGCTGCCTTCATGGGGCTGGTGAGAGCTCAGGCTGCTCCTTCCCAGGCTGGGACAGGAGGCTCGCACGGGGAGCGATCACTCCCCA